CCCAGGGTTGTTTACATAAAATCATTGGGCAATCATTATAGAGGATTAAAATTCGAACGACAAATTAATGGAGAATTTAAATCCATCACTTTTGATACGGGTGCTGAAGTTTCTATAATTAGAAAAACATTAGTCAAGTCTCGGGCAATCCAACCACTCACTAGAAACCTGTCACTACGAACTGTCACGGACGAATCAGCACCACTTCAAGGAGAAGCTATGATTGAGCTTAGTTTTGGATCTACCACCTTTAGGCACAGAACATTAGTCGCCGATATAGAAGATGATTTTATTTTGGGAATGGATTTGATCGGCCAACATGGTTTCTCTTTCGATACTTCTATGAACATCCTTAAATTTGGTAATGAAGAATTTGTCCTAACTACACAAGAAGAATTCCAAGCCGTTAAGATCCTAGCCACAAACCCAGTGAGGATTCCTGGAAGTACTGAGAAGATCATTTGGGGAAAATTGGAAACAAACCCTGAGTGCTGCGTTGGACTAACACATAATTTTATTGCAGATAAACCAGAAAAATTTCTCGTTTGAAGGACTCTAGTAAGAACAAATGGAGACATTATGATAAGAATTGCTAATGTTTCCTCTGAAACAGTAAAAATAAAGCAAGGAGATAATATTGGAACTCTCGAACCAGTTAAGCAAATATCGAACTGTGACCTACCAGATAAGCGACATTTTGTAAAAAAGAAATTGGATACAGACACCTTGATGCAGACTTTGAAGAATCATGGAAACACCTCGATCCGGATAGACTTCAAGAAGCCACAGATTTTATCTTGAAAGAAGCACAAGATGGATAATCAAACCGGACGGACCAGCTTAATTCAACACAAAATTGATACTGGATTGGCACACCCACGACGTATGCCAGCAGCTAAACATCAGGAAGTGGAGAACAAAATTGATAAAATGCTTCAAGAAGGAATGATTGAAAAGTCAAATAGTCCATGGTCTGCGCCAGTAGTATTGGTTACGAGGAAAGATGGAAGTCTTAGATTTTGTGCGGACTACCGTTAGCTTAATGACGCCACCAAGAAGGACAGCTTCCCTCTCCCGAGGATAGATGATACATTAACAACTCTATCGGGCTCCAAATAGTTTTCCACCTTGGATCTTAAAAGTGGATACTGGCAAGTGGCAATACACAAAGATGACAAAGAGAAAACTGCCTTCAGTACCGGAAGCGGGCTATACCAGTTTAATGTAATGCCTTTCGGATTGTGTAATGCTGCAGCTACGTTTGAGCATCTTGTTTTGCGAGGCCTTACATGGAGAACTTACCTGGTATATTTAGATGATGTCATGATTATGGGAAATTCGTTCCAAGAGCATCTCATTAACCTGAAAGAAGTTTTTGACCACTTCCGGAATGCCAACTTAAAACTCAATCCAAATAAGTGTTTTCTATTTTAAAAGAAAGTGAAATTCTTAGGTCACGTGGTATCTGAAGATGGCATACAAGTTAGGGAAGGAAAGATAGATGCTGTCAGGGATTGGCCAAAACCACGCGACAAATATGAACTCAGGAGTTTTCTAGGATTATCTTCTTATTATCGAAGATTTGTAGGAGGATTCGCTAATATAGCTGCTCCGCTTCATCGATTAACGGAAGAAAAATCAACATTCAATTGGACCCAAGAATGCGATTCCGCATTTAGAGAATTAAAAGGAGCATTATATAAAAGCCCAGTGTTGTCCTATACCGATCAGAAATGCATGTTAATTTTGGACACAGATGCAATCAACACAAGTATTGGAGCTGTCCTTTCACAAGTCCAAAATTCACAAGAGCATGTCGTAGAGTACTAAAGCAGAACCTTATGAAAGCTGGAACGAAATTATTGTGTCACCAGAAGAGAATTGCTTGCCATAGTAAAAGCAGTCGACCATTGCCATAAGTATATCTGCGGACGTAAGTTTCTAATTCGAACAGATCACGCGGCTCTAAAATGGCTTTTAGAAAATGAAAACTCTCGAAGGACAGCTTGCATAGACAGATGGATTGAGAAATTGCAGCAATACGATTTCCAAATTAAGTATCGACCTGGAAACCTGCATAAAAATGCTGACGGTCTGTCTAGACGGCCATATGCAAAAAAGACTGCAAGCATTGTCAAAGAATCGACATGCATGAGAAAAACCCTGGTTTGGCTGTGAGAAGAACGGGTCTGATCGTTGATGATAAATGGACTGCCAAACAAATGAGAGCAGATCAAGAAGCAGACCAGGACAAAAGTTTGATTCACAGGCGTTGTGCGCTCAGTGGAACTCTCTGGTAGTAGAAAATGGTTCACTGAAAAGAATTTGGGAAAGTGCCGATGGAAAATCGACTTAGACCCAACTGGTTATTCCAAAAGATCGAGTAGAAGATGTATTAATAGAAATACATGACGGAACTTCAGGGGCCCATTTTGGAGTTAACAAGACTTTGGACAGAATTCGGAAACGTTTTCACTGGGTTCACTATCATAAAGACGTTAAAAACTGGTGCCGAAAATGCGACATCTGTGCTACCAGTAAAAGCCCTAAACTAAGATTTCGGGCGCCATGAGACAGTACAACGTCGGTCTCCCGTTTGAAAGAATAGCGATAGATGTTGCCGGACCGTTCTCTGAGTCAGAGCGTGGTAACAAATACATCTTGGTTATCATGGATTACTTCAGTAAATGGCCAGAAGTTTTCGCTATTCCCAATCTAGATGCCATCACTATTGCCTAGGTGCTAGTGGACGAAGTTTCCAGTCGTCATGGTGTAACACTAGAGTTGTATTCAGATCAGTGACCAAACTTCGAATCTGCCATCTTAAAGAAAATTTGTGAGATCGTGAGCATTCGTAAGACAAGGATAACACCTTTACATCCACAGTCTGATGGCATGGTAGAATGATTTAATAAGACCATAGAGGAACACCTGACAAAAGTGGTCGCAAAGAACCAGCGAGATTGGGACAAACACGTGCCTCTATTTTTAATGGCTTATAGAGCAGCTGTTCACGAGTCAACAGGTGAAAGTCCAGCTGGAATCGTTTTTGGAAGGGAACTCAGGTCACCTTGCGATCTCATGTTTGGAATACCTGAAGATGAACAAGAAGAAATTCGAGATTATGCCGACGAAGTAGGGGCACGACTTCTGGGGATACATGATTTTGCTCGGGAGCATATTCAGTTGGCCAGTGACCGAATGAAGACCAGATACGACTTGAAAGCCAATTCAGCCAGATTTCAAGAAGGTGATCTAGTGTGGCTGTATAATCCAACAAGAAAGAAAGGAGTGTCGCCGAAATTGTCTTCAGCATGGAAAGGAACCTACAGAATAAAGAAGATCAATGATTTGGTTTATCGAGTTCAGCGCAACACCAGGAGTGAGATGAAAGTTGTACATCTGGACAGATTGACGAAATATTATGAGCGTGAAGTTGATCGGGACGATCAACCCTGAGAGGAAGGCAGTGTCGCGATGCGGTTTCGCCATGGTATACAGAATTCATGTCTAAAATTCCTGAAAAGACTGCTTTATTCGGGCAAAAAGATTATCGCGTTTATTCTGGATTATACAAGCGCGGATTACAGATATATAAAGGCCGATATCAGTTAGTAGTTTTTAAGTTTGAGATTGACTGTAATACTATTTAGATAGTGAATTTTATAAGAGTTGTAAAAAGTTGAGTTGTTTGAGTTAATTAGTGTCAGAGTGTGTAGTAACGTGGAATAAATTATTGTTGCGTTAATTGGACTTTGATTTCTGTCAGGCACCACAGAGCCGAGACAATACATTGAAATGCGATAAGAGGAAATATCGTGATTCGCAAAAAAATGGGGACGAAAACCATCTTCAATAGGTATATCTCAACTCCTTCAAAAAGATATTATATTTGGCAACGAAGACCCCTTTCCATGATCATTTAAGTCCAGACGTTTATTGCTCCACTCTAAACTGAAAAATCTGAAATTTTCTAACTTTCGATTTCAAATTATTTGTATGGTTGATTTGAAGAGTCTACTTACCTTTAAATAGGTACTTATCCAGAAATCAGAATCAAAAACTACAGAGTGAATAATTATTGCCTGAAAAAATACCAGCAAATATCTCACAATTTATTATTTGTTCTTGGGGGAGATGCAATTTTTCTTTTCGAATCTGTATCTGGCAGATAAACACTCTCCAAAAGCGTATTTCACAATCAGCGACATTATGAATATTATAAAAAATAATAATATGAAGATATGATTTTTTTCACACTAGTAAATTATCGGTCTCCCGGAAACAATGTTAAATTACAAAGGAAGCACTCGTACGATAAATCATTTCAAAACATTAAAATTTTAACTCAATAGTTGCGTAAACTGTGTGTGTATTATTTTTGAAAATAAAATGGCACTTTGTAAAGATATATTTTATTTTTTCGTAAGTACTTCAAAAATTTATTACCTACTTTTAGTTTAATTTTCAATTTGGTTTTGCGTGGGTGGTAATGCATTTTTCAGGAACTGGGTTTTGTTAATCAAGAAATTGGTTCGTGAGTCTAGGACGAGCTTCAAAAGTGTTTTTGATTTAAATACCGGATATACATTGCGTCTTACCGAAAGCTGTGGGAGTAATCGATAACAAAATAATAAAAACCCTTTTTGAGGGTGAGATTTGTGTCAGATTGTATAGTTCGATGTAGTATAGACGGTATGATATTTATATAAATTCAAGAAAAAGTTTAACTTTTTGCAGTTTATAAAAGGTGTTTGATAGTATCAGTCAGCAAAGTTGAATCGTCAATTTCTTTTTCGTAAGTAAATAAATTGCGGATTTTGCTAAGGGTTTAGACCGGGGTGAGTCGAAAAGTGCCTTGTTCAGGTTCCTGAAAACGAGCTTCGAATTTTTTTCCTTGCTTGATGACTGTTTTCGGTGGGAAACAGTGTAGCTATATTATTATTTACTAAAAAGATCTTTTGCTCAACTCTATTTTATCCATTTGTTATCTATTTCAGGGAGAGATAGCTTACATAGTTATGAAGATTCCTATGAAACTGTACCTTATAGTATTTGTATGCGCAACAATTTTATTTGTCCAATACCATATTTATTCTCCTTATGCCACAAGTGAATACTCCTATGACAGAAAAACACCGGTAATCCTACTTTATTTATTATTGTCATTTGTATTTATTTTAAATAAAAATATTTTTTTAGTGTGAAGCTATATTAAACAAAGTAACAACCGATCTTCCTCCTCTCTATATTATAACTCCAACGTACAGAAGACCAGAACAACTAGCCGAATTAACTCGAATGTCTCACACTCTAATGCTAGTACCAAATTTAATATGGCTCGTGATTGAAGATGCTTATGGCACCAATAGCCTTGTCGAAGATATTCTACGAAGATCTGGAATACGATATCATTACATGATCGGTAAGACATCATTTATAAATAAAATTTCAATATTCATGATTGAAAAAGTAAAATAATGTTTACCTAATTTCACGAAATTTAGTAAAAACTATTATTATTATTACTTTTTCCAACCATGCATTTTAAATTCAATTTTCACCAAGTATGGGCTCAATCAATTCAAGTTTTAATATTTTTCGTCAGTAGAGAGTTGAAAATTTCAACAAATTTTTAACATTATAGTATTTATTCCTTATTTCGGTCTTGCTTCGCTCTTATTCGTACATGGAACCTTGCTATATACGCAGTTTCGTACATAAGTAATAAGTAGGTATAATATTTAATACGAACAGCTTATTAGGTAAATCCCTCAAAAAAAGCAACATTGCCCTGGAATTTATGAAAATGAAAAGCATAACATGAAACGTAAAAAATATAGAAAATTTTCTATGAATGGATCCTTATTATAACCGCAGTTGCAGTTGCAGTTTCGCTTGCTACTTGTCCTTATTGCGCGTCAAACTCTATATTATTAATTTATTTCCTAAGATGCCATATAAGTACTTGGTGAAGAAAACTATTACTAGAATTTCCATAAAATTACCTACATAAGGCGTATGTAGAAAAAACAGTAATTATGCAGAAAATTTGTTTTATTTCCTACTTTTCCTAACTTTAATAAATTTTATTTTGAAATCACGGCATCAGCGCTTCCTTTCGTCGGTTTGGAACTCAAAAATGCTGAATAGAACGATTCAACATTAGAGTTGCACCAGCGCCTTCACCATTAATGTCACATAGGGCTTATTCATCAGCGACTTGCCGTTGAGATAGTATAGACTTCGCTAAGGGGATATTTCTCTCACGTTCATCATCATCATGATCATCATAAAACACACACATCCTCCTGGATCCACTGCTGTTCAGTCGTTTCCAGATCTCCCTTTTCTAGACAGCCGCATTCTATTTAGTTCGTCTGTTAGAATTGCTGGGAACTCCACTGTATCAGTGTATGGAAAGCCTAACGGAAGTGAACCAAGTGGTCACTATTTGTGTATATAGCTTATAGAAGTGACTTAATAACCAACACTAATTCTCAACCTCTGCCTAATCCCCTTTCTTGTTTGAAAGGATAATTAATTATTGGGTTGTTCCAGTCATTTCGGAAAATTTTGAATGTTTTTGATCAAGATTTTCCAGCTCATTTTTATTATCTGTACTGTTATAGTGTCTTAATTTGGAGCTTAGTAGTAGTTCTTCATATTTCTAAGAAGCGCATTGTAAATCTCCTCTACAGAAATGTCGGGAATATCTTCTGAGTCCTAATGTTCCTTTCGTTGTTCTCCTCCTATGGTCATACATTTTGTTTTTGTCAGATTTAGTTCCAAACCCCATTTCTCATTTTCCTCTTCTAATTTACGTGTCATGTGATCTAGGTTATCATATTGTCACGCCAAAAAATATCACCCTTTACAACATTATTATTTCAACACGAATTAGCCAAAGGCCATTGACAAGTAATGTCCCAATTTAGTTGGGCAATACGGATGTTATATTGAATAAAGCAAACGCATCAGGATGTTAGCAAAAAGCTTAGAGCTAATGACCTAGGTTTTAGGTCAATGATTTTTGCTGACAATCCTGAATAAATTTGGATCGATAAGACGTCATTTTCGAGTTAGTTGTAAATCTAAATTCGGGCGCTAAATTTGTGCTACGGGCTACGCTAGGGTCTACAGAAAGATGGGTCTCCGGTAGTACCGTTATTTAACATTTATAAATTATGTCTAGAGTAAATAGGTTGTAACATATGGTGGAGGCGCCGGTTTGATTTAATCAAGTTTTCTTTTTACTATAAAACTACAACAAAATATAATTTTCGACGTTTTTACGTAATAAATAATCAATTAAGTAATCCAATGAGAGCATTAAACATAGCACTTTTTTTTAAGAATAATTAACCGATGAGAACTCTAGACATAATTTATAAAGAAACGAAATTGCAGCTTTTTTGGACTTTTTTTATTCACGTATTAATCAATTGCCAACGTTTCGACACGGATGCGTGTCATCCTCATTGTTTTTAAGTCCAGTTACTTTGTCTTTGAGGATCAATATTACCAACAAATGTTTGGTACCCCTATGGGAGCCCCAATAAGCCCAATCTTGGCCAACCTGGTAATGGATCATGTTGTTAAAAAAACAATAGAATCATTGGATTTTGAAATTCCATTCTTTTTACTATATGTGGATGATTCCCTGACAGCGGTGCCTAAAAATAAGATTAATGACACTCTTAATATGCTGAATAGTATCAACCCCAACCTTGAATTCACAGTAGAAGTTGAAGAAAATAATAAACTGGCATTTTTGGATTTGCTGATATTTAACTCGCAGGGATCTTTGAAACTTGACCTCTACAAGAAACCAACGAGTTCTGGTCGCATTCTCCATTTCTCGACCAATCATCCATTACACCAGAAGATCAACCTCATTACAGAGTCCAAAAACAAAATCTACAGGCTTTCTAATCCTGAGTTCTGGGAAAAGAACTTACATAATTTACGACTTACTTTTCGGAATAATGGATATCCTACACATCTCATAAATCGCATCTTAAACCATGTCCCTCCAATAACATTTCCACAGCCATCCAATGCCATTGAATCCAACAACAACAAAAAATATTTCAAAATTCCATACATAAAAAACCTATCTGAACCATTAAGCAAATAATTACAAACCACAAACAACAAGATGGCATTTTACAATACCAAAAAGGTTGGCAATCTATTTTCTTCAGTAAAAAGTAGAACGCAGACTATGGAAAATAGTAATATTATTTACCAGATACCATGTGGATCATGTAATTCGAAATATATAGGGCTGACAAAACAATACCTCAAATCCCGATTGGCCGAGCATCGACGTGACTGCAATATCACAAATTATGACCATCCCAAGCCGGGCTTAGCTAAACACCATTTCGAAGAGGGTCACATATTTGATTTTAATAGCACTAAGATTTTAGATAGAGAAATAAATTTTAAAAAAAGACTCTTCCTAGAAATGACGTATATTCACAAAAACAGGCCTAATGTGAATCTCAACCGAGACACTAACGACCTCAGTGTGTTTTATCATAACATAATTACTAACTTCACCTAAAATAGAAACAATATTCCCCACGAAAAATTAAAAATAGAAACAATATTCCCCACGAAAAATTAAAAATAAAAATAATAGTTCATTTCTTCTATCTACAGCAGCGATTTTATAATCCTTTTGTTTGCTTTTGATTTTCTCGTAACCACCAAATTAATTAATTTGCTCAAATAAAGGTACTTTTTCAGCAGCCAATGGTCAAGGACATTGACACATTCCATATCAGGGAATCTCGTTTAATATAATATCAGTATCAATTTGTAGCTTGTAACCATTGCACGGCTGGTTTGAATTTTTATATGTCCGTTGGAATTATGTATTTTTTATGTTTTTTAATTTCAAAAAAACAAGCACCACAATTACTAATCTAGGTGAGTTAATGTCTGTCAGTATTGATTTTTGATTCTAAACTATCTCAATTTGGGTCTGATAAAGAAATACTATAATAAAACAATAATTTATTTTTTATCTGTGTATCTGTTATTTTGATTCTCTTATAACACAATTAATTGATAATAATTTACATGTTTTTAGTACTGTTTTTTCTGTTTATGTTGCACATTTGCGAAATGATAAATCCTATGTGAATGTAATGAATTTGTTACAAATGTAGTTATGTTAACTGGTTTGTTATACATTTTAGCCCTGAGGATGACACTCTTCCGTGTCGAAACGTTGGCAATTGATTAATACGTGAATAAAAAAAGTCCAAAAAAGCTGCAATTTCGTTTCTTTACAAGTGTGTGGACGTGAACTACCTTTCAAATAATTTATAAATGTTAAATAACGATACTCACCGGGGACCCATCTTTCTGTAGACCGTAGCGACCATAGCGTAGCCCGTAGCACAACTTTAGATTTACAACTAACTGGAAAATGACGCCTTATCGATACAAATCGATTCAGGATTGTCAGCAAAAATCATTGACCTAAAACCTAGGTCGTTGGCTCTAAGCTTTTTGCTAACATCCTGTATATATTGCACACGTTCGTTGTTAAAAAAAAAGTGCTATGTTTAATGTTCTGATCGGATTACTCAATTGATTATTTATCACGTAGAAACGTCGAAAACTATATTTTGTGGTAGTTCTATAGTAAAAAGAAAACTTTATTAAATGTAACCGGCGATTCCACTATATGTCACAACCTATTTTGTTGCAACTGGGGGTTTGGGATCTTTTGGGGTTTTAATAAATTAAAACAATAAGTCCCAAAACATTGACAATAATTAAGTTTATTGATTACAACTTAAGAGTTGATTAACCGATGAGAACTCTGGACATAATTTATAAATGTTAAATAACGGTTCTTACCGGAGAACCATCTTTCTGTAGACCGTAGGGTAGCTCGTAGCCCGTAGCACAACTCTAGCGCTCGAATTTAGATTTACAACTAACTCGAAAATGACGCCTTATCGATCCTAATTGATTCAGGATTGTCAGCAAAAATCATTGACCTAAGACCTAGGTCGTTGGCTCTAAGCTTTTTGCTAAGATCCTGATGCGTTTGCTTTATTTAATATAACATCCGTATTGCCCAACTAAATTGGGTCATTACCTGTCAATGGCCGTTGGTTAATTCGTATTGAAATAATAATGTTGTAAAGAGTGATATTTTTTGGCTTGACATTATGTCTGTACAATTACTAATTGGTCATCTACAAAGCTTAGAGTACCCAAATTGTACTCACTGAGCAGTACCTATTATTGCCTGTTTTCATGAAAGTGAGATTTTTACTAACCTGACTGTCCTATTCTTCGCGTTGACTTTTGTCAGAGATACCAAAATTATCGCTGAACTTTCTGTTTTCTTATGTTCTCAAATGCGTTCCCTACCTATTTTCAAGCGTTTGAATGACTTTCGGATCATTAAAGTATATTTATTCAACTCTGACTGTATTGTTTTTGGTGTTGTCCATTTATCTTCTTTTTGATTTAGTTCTCCGTGCTTTCTTTTGCTGTTAATGATTTGTTAACTTTCTCATCATTTACCTTTTATGAACATCATCTTGTATGTTTGTTGATCATTGAACCCTTTTAGTAAGGACTAGGGTAGCATGGCACATCAACGTTCGGTATTTTATAGGTTTATTGTATGTGTGTAAACGTGAGGGAAAATCAGTACAGTGGAAGTGACAAACAAGCTTTTCTTCAAACGAGCTTTTCTTCAAATATTCTTTGTATTGAATTAAAATGATTAATTAGACGTAAAAAGTATCCTATCAAATATGTGGAATATAAACGTCATGATGAATAATTAAAATTTCAAACTGGCTAAATTCCCGCCAGAAACTGAGCTAACGCGACGGTGTCGTCATGAGGTAATAATGGGTATGTTCACCAATACCGATGTTTCCTGTACTCAGCAGCTAACTTGCAGCGTAAAGCAGTTGAGGACAGTTGAGTTACAGCGGATATAAATTTCCTGAACGCCCGACACTTCTGCGCATGTCTGAAGCATAAGTTGAGTTGGTAAGCGTAAATTTTAACCACCTAGAAAAATGGGCAGCAGCTGACAAAAAGTGGCTTTTGCTGAACGCGACTGTTTCCCCAGCTACTCAACTGTTGGCAACAGTTCAGTGCTGGTGAACGCTCCCTTGTCATTATTTTGTTTTACGTTTTATTAACCCAAAATTTTTTGACAAAATTTTTGGTAATTTTTGAGTCGAAAATGGCATATCGTCGAAGTATCGTACCAGGTTGTATAAGTACAACAATTTCCATCCCAGACTTGAGATGCCGACTTGAAAATATTTCATTAAAAAGCAATGTTTACCTTTGTGAAGACCATTTTTTATCAAGTATTTTAATTACAAATTTACTTTTGAGTCAGTTATATCTTAACTGACAGTGGTTAAGATCCAAATTTGAAATTAATATTAGTCTAACCACACTTTTGTTTGTTATTTTGTTTATGAACAGGACAAAAAGCAATATAAAATGTCAGCGGTTAACGTGTTCGAACCTCCTGACGTCACTAAAAAATGGCATATTCTTTTCGTGTGATGTCAAATTTAAAGGACGCAGGCGATTTTTCCCAGATAAGAAGGTAGCGAAAAACATGAAAATGAATGCAAAAAGCCCATAAGAAAGCTTAATTTATGACATTGCGGAGGAACTAGGTATATACAACAGTGGAAATGCCAAGCTCAGCAAGATCAGTAATTGCTTTAAATATCTGGAAATAAGTGAATGAATAATAAGACGTCTTTTATGAATTATTTTTAATATCAAATGGCAATGAGCCTTGCTGTTGGGTTGACAAAGTTCCGCTTTTTCAATTATGGCTCCAATTACATTTTGAAGCTGTATATTGGTGCAATGCTATTAATAGATAATAATTGTTGCCCTCACTCTGTTTTCCAACTCGTTTCTTTTTGACGTCATTTGTGTAGTTGATGCAACTCGTTTTTGATTGTTTTGCTGCCTTTGATTGAAAATTAAGGGTTGTATAAGCCATGAAGATGACATAAAACATAAAATAAACAAATAATAATAATAGCTAAAGGCCCACGCACTAATCCTATGGAAAATGGCTTTTGGTGAAATTGTCTAAAATTTGGATATGTTGTGCTCCTGGACATTCTAAACAAAAATTATCATTGGCACAAAAAATCCAACGAGCCATTTTTGAGTTATGTTAGGTTTAAAAGATAATATCAGATGCAACACATTTCAATTTCTTGTCACTTCATAAAAATGTAGAAATGACATTCATGAACAGTTTGCAAATTGTCAGAAATTATCGCCCAGATAAGTTACCGATTTATCTTGGCACGACGGCATTGAAAACATATATGGGCGATGCTTTCTGACAGGTTGCAAACTGTCAGAGACTCTTGTGAGAACACTATTGACGGAACGTTTTCGTACATAAATAAAAGTAGTAATTTCTTATTGCAGGCATAGGGCCGTCATTTGATAAAACCCAAATTGATTGTAGCTCCCAACGGGTATAGGTATACCTATATACTTCACATACAAGGGCCGTATTTCTCTGAATAACGTAAAAATGATGTAGCAATGTTACAACGCGAATTTGAAAGAAACATATACCAAGTTTATGCTTCCGTTGAACCGTTTAACAGCTGAAACGTTTTCGAACTTAAAGCGTTTTATCCTGTGTTTATACTTCTATAGGGCAGCAAAAGCAAAACGGTTTAACGAGATAAAACGGTTTATAGGGTGTTTATACAATCGTTTTATAGTCAAACGTTTTCTGTTACAACGGTTTAACGGGAAGCATAAACGTGATAATAGATGGTAGTAGGCAGTGGATTCAAGAGGGCGACATTTTCATAGAAGACCGAGAATATCGAGATGCTGATCCACTGCTTCAAGGCGTAGGCATTTGTCTACAAAATGCCAATACCTGTAAATCGGGGACAATTTGGACTAAGATCCTACCGAAGAAGCAAAAGAATCACGTTTAGTAGCGAAAACCAGGTGGATACAGTTGAAGCACGAAATGGACAATTCAAATCAACTTTTAAGTTTTTAATGAATGACTAATACTATCTTAATGGCACATCTTGTGTTTATCTCGGCGACCTTTACTCTACACTAAAGAAATGCTATAGCTATTCTAATTAGATACTATACGAGAACATTACTAAAGAGTATAAGCAGAAAGTCTTAGAGTCAGACACGGTAGATGGGTTCACTTGAATCCGAACCTCTTACCTAATTTTTCTCGTCTTACTCTAAACGATCTGCGAGACTTAACTGTTTGTATTTACCAAGTATCTCTTGCTCCGTACAAGACGCCATTATGCTCCATGATGTACAGAAATCTTTTGAGTAAGACAAAATTGAGTAGGTAAATGAAACTGGGTTTTTAAGAATTCGCGTATTTTCTCGGTTTCGTAATGAGCCAATTTTAGGGTATTATTGTACCTGCAAATCTGAGCCAAGAACTCTGGGAAGTAGTAGGATAATAAATCTATGCCAACAACTGACCCGGAGAAACTTTTAAATCATAACCGGAATCAAGCAAAAATGTGTCATTGCCATTGCGGGCAGCTATTCCTATTAGACTAGGAGGCAGTGACGATTTTCGGTACTTATTTTCCCATTTAGACAACATAGAGATAATTGTAGGGTTAGTAATTCTAAGCAAAATTCATATATTTGTAGGGGGGTTTTCCGATGGGTTGAGGCGCATAATGCGTTAAAGCTTACGAATGCACGGCCCTTTTTTTTTCAGTGATAAAAATAGGTCTACTAATGAGATGTAGGTATACTGAAATTACGTAAAAAAATAGTCCGGCTAATCTGTGAGTATGGATAATATGTCTGGGAGGTGAAAGATTGAAGATCCGAAAATTTTCAGCCAGACTCACTTTCCACTATCTGAGATAAGCCAAATTACTATCTTCATATACTTTATGTTCTATTGTAGTAAATGTGAAATATTTATGTCTGAGAAAATAAGTGTACCTACTTGTATTTTTCATTGATCTTGTGAACCCATCCGAAAATTTTAGCCAGATTGAAAAATTCTTGTTTTGTATCACCAAGAGAACAAACTATTTAAAAGACACCAACTGGGAAAATAAGTGCTAAAAAATTTCACTGCCTCCTGGACTATATATTTGTAGAAGTCTTACTCAATCCGATAGAAGCAAACCTGCCGTTGGGCGTTCAAATCGCCTATAGAACTGATGGTAAGCTATTCAAATTCTAGATATTAAACGTATTCTTAATTCGGGATATACCTATTGATATTGTGAAAATAACTGGTTAATCAAAAATGAAGGATAACTAGACACGTGCCTATTTCCTGCTGATCTGACAATAGCTGGTTTTAAACAGCGACCAACTGGCAGCTACCGCTGATTGGGTGTGCAGTGTGGGAGAAATTGTGGGTCCAGAATAGGCTTATTCAGGTATAAAAGAACCCACAGATAATGATGCTGCCAAGATAAACACTCGTTAGCGAGAGAATGCCTATGATGATGATGATGATGATGATTTTTAAGTAATTTCACCGAAAGCTATTTTCCATAAGATTAGTGCGGGGTCCTTTATGAAAAAAAAAAAAACAATGCCTACTTAAATATTACAAGTTAAAACATTATGAGGTAAAAAAAATGTTCATCAATAAATAAATTGCCCACTAAAGAAAGTCCTTGGAGTGTGTTTCACTCCTACAATTTCCTGCATACGATTTTACAATACAAGAACATAAATTGCAACGTAAACGCCGATTTTACAATTTGGGAACATGTTAAATCATGAAAAGTCCCTATATATAGTCTGAAAATTTTTTTGCCAATAAAAAGTGAGACCTTTAACTCAACGTTCGGAACAACCTAGACCATAGAGTTGGAGCAGCAAAGAAAAATGCGACTTCATGAAAAAAAAATCAATATTTATCATTCATGCTAAACTTCACCCAAACTATTATTATTCCAGCAAGTTTAATCTAAAAGAAAATAAAACCCGGAGGCTATTAATTCTCTCAGGTTTTAGAGCCACTAATATATTTCCCGTGGCATTAAAAGTTACGATAAGTTCTTATACCGGCATTGTTCTCATTTATAAATTTTCGCCCCTATCTATTATCAACTAAAGGTCGGGGTTTTAATTTGGATTATGATTATTTGTTTTTTGAAGCTCCAATGCCGGTTCAGTATAAAAATAAAACCAAAGGTCCCAGACCACGGGGCGTGTCGAATAGAAATAAGGGACTTGAATGGATAAGAGAAAACACATACAATGGAGTGCTTTATTTTGCTGACGACGATAACACCTACGATCTGGATTTGTTTAATGAGGTAAGAATTTTGTTTTCTTCAAATCAATCCAAAATATACCTATAGAAACTTTTAACATTCGATATTGCATTGCATGCCATATTCTTCCCTTCCGACTTTGAATTATTGAATTCCATTATATGTAATTGTAGTCATATATTGCACAGACATAGGTAGGGTATTTGCGTATATGCGACCTAGATTCTGCATTTGCTTATATCGATATATAATATTACTCATATATTCAGGTAATGATATAGTTCTGTCGTCGGTATATCTTTGATTTGTCAAAACAGAGGACTTAACTCTGTTTTACTCAATATTTTTTTTGATTAAAGCTCTAGTTTCGGTTACATTCTAGAGCAATAAAACCGTGAAAGTGAATGGAAATATGGCAAATTATGATATTTTTCGACACAGATAGATGAATGAACAATACTTTGCATAATATAATAAAATATAGCAAATTTACCCATAAATAAAAATAGCAAATTTACCCAAAAAACTACTACAAATTGAATATACGTCATTTTTTTATGTGATGTAATTTCTACGTATATAAATGTAAAACTATCATATAGGTAAGTACCTATTTTTTTTTTTTATTTATTTTTTTTTTTCCGAGATTTTCTTGATGATCTACTTACTGGAAGAGGTTTCCATATTCTTGGAATTTCTACCCATGGATAGCTGACTATGCTTTAGTTTCCGTTATATACGCTACTTCCTTGAATTTGCGTTTGGACCGGTGCTTTCTATTATTTTTGCCTGAGTTCATTGGATGTTGCGCTGTCTCTTCCATGAATGTTGAACGATGCCGGATTTGGGGGTTACTTGTTTTTGGTTGTTCGTTTTATCTTCTTTTACTCGTAAATCTGATGTTCTTTTTGTCTCTGGTATGATTCTTCGCACTCGCAGTGCAGGTAGATTGTAGATTGTGATGATTAGGGGTGTTCAGGTTATGTACCTCTCCGCACTCGCGACCTGATTAGATCTATTGTGCTTTCCCTTAAGATATAGGGATGGGTTCCCAGCCAGATTAGGGCTTTTGCAAAGCTTATAATGTTTTTGGGATTGGCTTCTTTCACATCTACAGCCGTTAAGTAGGGCTGCTCCAAATGGATGAATCTTCTGCGGCAGAATGCCTCACAGTTGCAAAGTATGTGTTTCGCAAACTCAGAGTCTTCTTCACAGAAGAGTATAGTTGATTCTGTTTTGCCCATCTTTTCCAGGTGGTAACCCAGAGGGCAGTGACCCGTGAGGAGGCCTGTAAGCCGCTTTACTAAAGTCAATAATTTCCTTTGCCTTTATTGACTGGGGCGAGATTAATTTTCCCCTGTCGAGTCCTGGAAGCGTGTACCAGCGGCAGGCTTGTTGAGCCTTTACCCAATTCTGGACTTTTCCTATTATATGTCCTTTCGTAATGCCAAAGAAAGATTCTGATACAAGGAATGGTGTTGCAGCTCCTTGTCTTGCAAGTTGGTCCGCTATTTCATTCCCCTCCACTTCTCCATGACAGGGTAACTCTATTGCGAGACGCCAGTTGCTTCAGGAGTTGTTGGCAGTCCCATAGCAGTCTGAACTTAGTGACAGAGCTACTCAGTGCTGCCTGACTGTCGGAATTAGTCGCTCTTCGCAGGTCTCTTTCGACACACCTTCGAGCTCAAAGTTCTATTGCGAATATTTCCATCTACAAAGTGGGCCGTATAACCCTGCTCCAGTCTCTTGCTCTGTTTTCGATCCGTCTGTATACCAGACAGATGACCTGTTCGGAAATACAGGTACGATATTTTCTCCCTCGCGGCCCTCAATAGTCACTTTGAAGGAGTGTTCAAACTTGTGTTGCATGTGGTCAACTGGTTTTGTTTTTACATTTATGCATTCTTTCATAATGCTCATGTGGCCGACAAAGTCCCTTTTCGTCAGTTTTAGGGACTGCATTATTATCAGGACCCCCATTGCGGCGGTTGGACAGGTGCTCATTGCTCCTGTAATTCCAAGATATGCATACCTTTGTACAGTTGCCAATCGGTTTTGCTGTGTCTGCTGTTTCACTTGGCTTCAATCCATGGAACTGCAGTTTCGTCAAAGCCCTTATTTCTAGCCGCTCTTCTTATGGATTCATGAGGTGTTATCGAAAGCTCCCTTCATAGTAATGAATAAATGCGCATAGAGCGGTTTCTTGACTTGAGCGTGCCCTTTCAATCTTAGTGAGAAGACTGTAGGGCAGTCTCAGTTAATTTACCTAGCTGATCTTTTGGAGCGGGCTTACCATTAGGAACTCACTCCCGATGTGTAGATCAATGATTATCTTCATAGTCTTCAAGAAAAATGAGGTTAGGCGAGTTGATCTGAATGATTTAGGCTGTACTGTAGGGCGCCTTCGGAATGAAGGCGTCTTCTCAGTTTATTTCTATTTTATTTTATATGACTTAGTCTTCCAAATGCTGCCCAGAACAATTTGATTCTTCGCGTTGAATTGCGTTTTTCTGTCTTTTTTTTATATTTTGTCTTTCGCGTTAAGTGTTATTTGATGGGGGTTTCCTGGACGTTTTATTTTATTTTTTTTTCTATTTTTTGTTTTTCCATATTTTATTATTAGGTAGTCGTGTTTCTACTGATTTTTCTCTCTGTTAATTTATTTGAGCATTATTGTCCACCTTTATCGTTGCTCCAAGCAAACTGTGATCACTGACTATGTCGATGTCATTTAGGACCGATAGGTAGGTAGCTCTTCTCTTTCGTATCCGACTTTTGTTTGGTTTAAATTGTTTTCCATGGAAAATTATCGCATACATCTGAACTGTTTGAATCAGAATATCTTATGACATAATAAATAAAATTCGCAAATAATATTCTCCTATTCCATAAGGAAACACAACATAATTTTACATAGTTCAGGTGAGTTCTAAGAATTCAAAATAACGTTCTTCAAGTCCCGATTTTTTTTTTAAATATAGTATAGATATAGAAAATTGACTTTGCCTAAATAAAAACTTAGGTACTAAAAATTTACTGAGAATAAGGTATTTCTGTTATAGAAATCATACTACCGGAACTTCGACAAATAACTAAATTTTTTGGTGTTATTTTTTTTTAATTTGCGTCCAAATAACTTGCAACCAAATGTCGTGCGTACAATTAACTCCGCGTCCATTTGTCGTCCTCGTCCTTTTGTTAACGCGTCCAAATTTCCGCGTCCTTTTGTCGCACGTTCAAATTTTCGCGTTCTTTTTTCGTATATCCAGCAGGGAGTATGCACGAAATTCCTTCCTTATGGGTTACGCCACTGCCTTTGAAAGTTTCTGAGACATAATTATCCACTTTCCATAGACCATACGTAGGTATTCAGAAGTCAAGCGATAATTTAATATGTAGTTACATCATAAAAACCATAATATCTTATTGATAATAGTAGAGCAGTGTTGCCAACTGATGGGATGTGGAAATACCTAGATTTGAAAAAAAATATCCCTAGAATTCCCTAGAATTTATTTTTTTGAAATTCATTTTAGAATTATTATAACAGCCTAATAATTATTGTAATATGTAATGTATACTTGCTATTTACAAGAAAAAAAAATCATATTTAGTTTTTAAAAAACAACATAGAATTTCCAAAAGCAATAAAACATTGTTATGACGTCACTGGTGGGGTGGCGACAGTAGTTTTGTTTTAGTTCGAAATTTGAAACGGTTCTAGGATTGCGCAGAACTGCTTGCGCACAAAAAATAATTGAGGATAATACTAGTTCTGAACCGATTCGGAACCAAAAAAGCCAAAACACGCCGCAAATCACAAAATTCTAAAACAGTTTCTCCTTCAGAGTAAGAACTGAGAGAACCGTTCTAGACCATCCCAGAATTGTTCTTAAATAGTTCTATTTCTAGATAAACCAAAACACTGTCAAAACAGTTCGATTACGATTCTGAAAAAACGAAAACGCGTTTTATAATATGCGCATGTGCAGATTGATTCCGAACTAGTTCTGAGTGAAACTAGAACAAAGCTAGTGACGACAGACTGTTAACAACTGTCTTCTGATTCGACGCGAATGTTGCGGGAATCCCCACACACATCACGTTACACGAAAGGCAAGGAGCACTTCACAACATACAAAAATGAGAGAAGATGTATGTAAGTATGTAAGTATGTAATTACTCAGACGAACCAATAATAAGGTCACTTCCGATTTTTTTAAGAATATGTAATACTATATATTATATATTTATATTTTTAGAATTTATTAAGGCCGCGTTAATGGCCGCCATGTTTAAACTGTGATTGGTTGATTTTTCGAAACTTGTTTTAAGGTCTTTAAAAAAACGGCACATCAGACTGACTCAAATTTGGCATAAACATTATTTGATCGATTATCTACAATTCCTAGTTTTTCGATATTCAGCATTTTTTGTTTAATTCAAAAATCATGTTCGCAACCACCAAAACAATTAAATGTGTTGGTGGTTGCATATTTGCATGTTTATCAAGCTTGGATCCGTGAAAAGCATATTTTATTGATAACCACGAAAAATTAAAAAAAGCTAATTGTAGAGATTGTAGATAATATATCAAATAATGTTTATGCCAAAGGATTTTGGAAATTATTGCGGATTTTTTGAGATGACCTTAAAATGAAATTTGAAGGTGAAAACAGTTCAAGCAATTTCAAGTAGATGGCGCCACGGCAAAAAAGCTACATTGGGAGCATCATAATTGTATATTTGTCTTTCTCTGTCACTAAGTGTTTCACCGACAAACAGATTTTGTTTTGGACAAATAATAAAATATTGAACTCTATGTGTAGAGTGACCCCAACAAACACAAGTACGTCTTTAATACGTCCATAATTCGTACTTTTTCGGACGAAAATACGTCCGCGGACGTACTTTTCAGGTCCCGCCGACGTACGAGGGACGTCTTTAAGACGGTCGTTTTCCACAAAATAGTACGCCCCATACGTACATTCAGGGACGTAATTAACGTACGTATTTAGTATAGCTTTTTAGGAATGTGTTTGGGACGTACAGGGTTTTCCCATATATTTTTGCACCTCACCAGAACTGGTTGATTGAATAGGTATCAAAAATATGTGAATACAAATGTTGTATTTACACCTTTTTGATACCTTTAACCTGTCCAGATGGGGTGCAAAAATATATGGAGAAAACTCTAAACATAGAGGTACGTATTTATGTGTAGGTAACTTTATAGTGAAAAATAAAACCATATAAATATGTATTGTATTTTTAAGTTACAATTTTCATTCTCAATAAATACCTTAACAATAACACTGAAAAACTGAAAAAAATTAACACAATATCAAATATGACATACTCTTAAATTTAACCTTAAACAACAGTACCTACATTTATAATATAACAAAAAAAATTGAAGGAAAAGTGAAGAAAGATTCCAACCTAAAAAAAATATACAGAAATAGGTAGGTATCCTACAAACATATAGAGAATTGTAGGGGCATAAACCAGAAAAAGTTTCACACACTAATAATCTTGGTAAAAGTATTATTATACACACAAAACACAGGTAGTAAAGTGGGATAGCCAAGCCGCCAAGCTAAACACTAAAAACACATGCTGGCGTTGCTGAAATCAATACAAAATGGTTCTCGCGTCACTTGATTTGGCAAAAAAAAACAAAAATAGAAGAAAACAAAACCTCACACCACTCTACAAACAGACTACAAACGAGCTACAAACACAAAAGAAAAAGGCAAATAGTGGTGCCGCGAGACGAGACTAGACGAGACTTAGGGTTGGTCTCGTCTCGTCTCGACATCTCGAGACGAGACCGTGACTTGGTCTCGGTCTCGAGTACCAAAGTCTCGTCTCGTCTCGAGTGGTCTCGTCTGGTCTCGAGTTATACAGGGTGTCCAAAAAATAGCGTTAAAACTCTTCACTACGTGGTGGAGGACCCTACAAGGAACCCCAGAAAAATACTTAAAAAAATCTAGTGGCATTCTTAAGAAAGTTATTTGCATTTTAATATTTATTAAAATTGGCAACACTGAAAATATACCGTTGACAATATATCAGAGAATTAAATTGAATACCCATGCAATTATCTAAAGAATTCGAAGGTGAATTTTCACATCTACCTCTTCATATTACCAAGAATAATGCTGGAGAAGGATTTTTTTAATTGAATTATTTTTCTAGGGTTTCTCAAAGGGTCCCCTACTACGTGGAGAGCTATTACGTTATTTTTCGGACACCCTGTATTTATGGTTTTTATATGTCATTGGTTTTTATTTTTAAATTATAAAGGAAGTCCAAACTGCCACAGTGGAAAAGAAATTAGTGAAAAATCACAGTAAAGAGTAACCGTGATATTTAATTTACTGATTTCATATTCAAATAGCCCAGAATAGTCCAATAATAAAGCTATGAAAGAAAAATTTTAAGTGTAATCTCGAGACTCGAGACTACACGCGATTCTCGCCGAGTCTGGTCTCGTCTCGTCGAGACTTCACGAGACGAGACGAAAGGACAGTCTCGTCTCGAAAAGTCGAGACGAGACGAGACCAGTCTCGAGTCTCGCGGCATCACTAAAGGCAAAATCCAGACAGGAACAACTCAAGCGAGGCGTCATATCAAAATGATGAGCCCTGCCAGTGTTGCCAGATGTCAAATTCAAAATTATCAGAAAAAGTTTGTGTCAATTTTTTTGACTTTCATCTCTAATCTCTATTTATATTTTTCTAACAAAAAAATTAACCCAAAACTAATGGTGCTGTGAGCTTAACTCATTTCTAGCTGGGAAGTATTTGGTGCGACCACCAGTACACGTCAAAACCACCAACCAAAAAAATTTTTAATTTTCAACTAAAAATTTTAAAAATATGCATTGAAATTGTAGTTTCAATCAATTATCGTATAGTAAGTAGCTTGTGATTATCGATTATTGAATTGTAGTCAAAATTATGGTAGATTTCGATAATTATCGGGTCATTGGCAACACTGCCCTGCTAATGCCAAGCGACCCTTGTCCCTTGTTTTCCATTCTATTGGTTTATTTCATGTTTATTTTGACATTTGACCATTTATTTAGGTCAGGTACCTAAATGAAATATAAATCTTTGATTATATGATCTGCCTCACAAAACGTTTATAATGACTACCTATGTATTCGTATTTATTAAGTTTAAATCTTTTTGGGTTTAGGTTTAGAGGTTAATTTGGAAGGCTACCACTCCCGTATCTTTTGCTCGGAAATTGCATATTATTTAAAAATATATTATGATTAGAAATTAATACAAAAATCATGAATAGTTGGTAATGATCCAGCTCGTCTTGTATTGTTCGTCTTTGAAACGAACATGTACGTCTTTTATAAGAAGTACGCAATATAGATTTTGACGTACGTTCTTGGTACGTACTTTTTTGTCTGTATATTAATACAGCCTTTTACGTACGTACTCAAAACGTAGTTTTACATACCCGACGAACCGACGTGAAACGGACCTAAAATGTACGTCTTCAGTACGTACTGTGTTTGTTGGGACGCAGTCGTCATTGTCAAAAACTAAATTTAAACATGGCGGCCATTAACGCGGCCTTAAATTGTATTAGAAAAATTAAAAATATCAGAAAACCCCCTAGAATTTCCCTATATCCCTAGAATTTTTTTTTTTTACATATTTATCCCTAGAACTAGGGACAAATCCCTAGAGTTTGCATCACTGGATTAGAGAGTTTCCAATGCATTAGTTTTCCAGGGAGCACATTCTTGCCTGTCAGGTTTTGTCCACATTAATCTGACTTGTAGTGTGGATTTAGAAGGGAACCTGGTAATGGTAAAAAATTGCTCTCTGCTTTCACATTTATTACCTCGGCTAGTTTATTATTCTTATGGAACAGTAATGTGCGATAATATGTGGAGGAATAAAAAAGGAGAACGAGCGGTATTTATCAGCAACGTGACACGGTAACTAAATTGGAGTTTTTATGAACTCCCTATGTAATACCAGATATAGGGGTAAGATAAATCGTGACTGTAACCCCCATTTACGCCAGGCCGTATTTCTTTTACGATGCGACATTTAAATTTTATTCGACGTGTCCTAACCATGAATTTTATCATTGTATTGACTCGTTTGTCCAGATTATCTTCAAAAATGTTGGGACATATATGCATGAAATTGAATATTTATTATTAAGGTAAGTATTCAAAAGTAGTGACTTCAGATATATGTACCGAATATTCACTTCTGTTATTGAAAAAGTTGGTGAATGATTGGAGGAAATGGAGCAGCGACTCGGGATCCAATGGAATTCGCGACTAGGCAATTCATTTACTGTGGCTCTAGTTATTCGATGCACCACCCTGTTCATCTGACATCTGTTATTCATCTGACATCTGTTATACTCTGTTCTCTTGGAAACAACTGATTGAATGACCTTCATTCTGCGGTAACTAAAACATGCTTAAACATAAAAACGAGTCAAGAATAACATTACAGAGTTATACCATAAGCAGAGAAATTTCCATTGCATGACGTTGTGTACTTCCCCTGCTTGGGAAAATAACACTCTGTAAAGTGCGACAACTGAATGAACCTGTGTGGAAGGATGCGGGCAAAACCCTCCTGATTGGCGCGAGATAAAATATACATATACGCGGGTCGTCGCGTCAGGGTAAACGCAATTTTCGCAATGCATAACGTCGGGGACCCATCGCGTCGTATAGTATAGGTTTTTGTCTTCCCCTCTGCTACTTCATACGTTACCAAGGTTCACTCAGTTGTCGCACTTTACATGAATTCAATAATGAGTTTATCACAAATCGACAAAACGCAGGACGTAATTGACCTGGTTAATTATGATGGAGACAAGCCAGACGTATATAAATTGCGATGCGAACCGCATCAAAGGCAGACTTGAACCAGCGCCGGTAGCTCTAGTTGGGAAAGCTCCTCTGGAGTGAAGTCTCCCCAGTGCCTGTACCTCCAGTTGGGAAAGCCAGTCTGGGTATCTTGAGCCTCATCATAGTGCAGCGCCGGTACCTCTATGGGAAAGCTCCTCTGGACAAGACATAAGGGTCACTATCTATAGCGGATAAACCGACAGTCTCCCAAGCAGCGTTGACGTGTGGCCCCCTATTAAGGACCCTATAGCTTTAGAAGGTTCATGCATCCTGAAGGTTTAGGACATACAGGGTGAATCTGAATATGAGATTTTTTTTTTAACAGAGTAAATATCTCGCCAAAATAAGTTGTGTGGCAAAAAATTGTTTACATAAAAAATTTAAGATAACGCTTGTTTGATTTACTGTAATGAAACTGTAGAGTACCTACCTATTATGAAATAAAACTCATTATGCTGGATTTTTTTTTGAGAAAATTTTAATAAAATGGTTTATAGTGGGAGTCTTCTTTAAACCTTAAAATACCTGTAGGAACCTCCGTTATCTTGACTTTTTTATGTGCACAATTTTTGGCCAAACAACTTATTTTGGTGAGAAATATACCTATCCTGTTAAAAAAAAAACTCACTTTCAGATTCACCGTGGCAAATATATATCTATCTACTTTTTACACTACTTTGAGCGAGTTTCCCTCCATCAATCCCCAAAGCTACAAACCCCATGTCACCCCTGTAAAACAGGTGGTTGTGACAATATTAATAAGTCGTATTTCCATTAAGTATTTTGGAATAAAAAAGTTGGTATTTGTTTTCGGTTTAGAATTTCAAAAGCTATGTAGGTACATTGATTGCATAAAATTATTGATAGCATGTCGAGGAAAAACACTTTCTCAATTTGTCATTAAATTCGTGAGTTGCCAGTATGAGAATATCAAAACGGAATCAAAATACACTCACACATCGAAATAACGATGTCGATTTTCGTTTTCCAGATCCGATACACAAAAAGTGTCTCAATGTTTCCTGTGGGACTGATAACCAAAGCCGGTGTAAGCTCGCCAATAGTGCGGAACGGCACATTCAGAGGATTTTACGATGGCTGGATAGGTGGAAGAAAATTCGCAGTTGATATGGCCGGATTCGCTGTTTCTGTACAATTTTTGTTATCCAGACCTCAAGCTTCCATGCCTTTTAAACCAGGTTTCGAAGAAGATGGGTTTTTGAAAAGCCTTGCTCCTTTTGAACCGTTCGAAGCGGAATTATTGGCTTCCAAATGTACAAGAGTAAGTTTATCGTGCACATTTTACTTTTTAATTTGCGCTCAAAATAATATTTTTTTCTCTCAGATCTTAGTATGGCACACTCAAGCAAAGAAAAACGAACCAGCGTGGCCATTGGATTACACAAGATACAACAATACAAATTTGATTGCGCTAAAAAATATTTTAGTTTGAAATTTATTATTGATTGACAATAGCGAAGGTCTACAAGGAAATCGATAATTGAAACATGCGCCTAAAAATGACCTTTTGTTTTTCAAGCACCTAGTGGCTAAGGGGCGACAAAAAATAGAATGAGAGAAAGGTAATACATTTCTTCAGTTTTTTTCAAATTAAACCAAATGTGTACTAGTTAGGGCCGGTTGTTGATACAAAGGTTGTTCGGTGATTTCTATATTAAAATGAGTTTTCAACTCAAATGCGGCACAAGTTGAAAGTTGTTATAACTATCCCTAGGGTTGTCAAAGTTTCAAATTTCAAACATTTCTAGCCCCGTGAAATCAGAAAATTAAGTTTGAGAATATACTGGTATTCAATTTCGTCCTTCAAGTAAGTTGCAAAACAGCCTTCGGGAAGGGTAACTTTTTGTTTTCATCTTATTTGGAAATTTATTTTATTTCCCTTATGAACCTTTCGTTACAAGATTCATTTGAAGTTTACAGCTTCAAAGGTTGCAACTACAACTTTTTAATGCAATACCTATTCACCAATATTCAACAAAATTGGGTATCTTCTGCTCTTTGTTTTTCCCATTCACCCCAAATGCATTTTTGTATGAAATGAAGAAAGATACATTCTCATTATTTTATTGGAAAACATATTCAATGGATAAAAAAACAAATTTGCACAAAATCTGCAAGTTTTTTACTCATTTGAATTGCTTACAAAAGATACCTTAGGTAGGTACTTAACCAGGTGCGCAAAGTCACCATGGACAACGCATATTATTCTATAAGGCTTTTTTTTATTTGAGAACTGCTGAAATTTTACTGCTGAATATCTTTGAACGCCAAATTTTTATCTGTGGCTCCATGCATATCGCTTAACATATCTTATTTATCCTTATTATTACTGTTAACTCTTTGTATAATAATGCTTAGCGCCACAAGATCTCCAAGCAAAAGACACTCTGGTTCAATTTCTACAACACTTTCTTAACAAAATCGTAGGGCTTGACTAAGGACTTTGATGAAGTGAAAAATTACCAAACTCAAAAGTGAAAACAGTTTTCAACAATTTGTTGGATACTTGTAGTTTTTTGAAACTTAATTTTTGTAACTCGTCTTCCTCATGAAACTGTACCTTATTACTGTCTAAAAGTCATCAATTGAATCAAAAACTTCTTTCTGCAAATAATCACTTGTAGTTTTACATTTAGGCTACTCATTTTTTTCAGAAAACAAAGAATTTGAAACACTATTAATAATTGATAATAACAACCAACAATGCAAATAAATGTTTTAACATGTGAACTAGAAAAAATATCGAAAAACATTCTAATTCTAATCTTGTCCTGAAAATGCTACATCAGGTTTAGTTGAATTTTTACTCTTTTTGAAACATAAACTTTATGAGTGAAATTAGAACATTAGAACTACGACTTATTTGTCTCAGTTTGGATCTATTTGTTTTCATTTATAGGTAACAGTCAACAAAATGTACAATATTTTTTGTACAAGTAATTATTTGCTGAAACTGTCATTTTCAGGAAAGAGTAAATTTAATCACTCAAATCCCAGAATGCGGCAGTGCACAAAACTGTCAAGTATTTGGCTTCATTCAGATCAAAAACTGGGTAATATAGTGCCATAGAAGAATAATTGACTTCTCAATTCAGACTTCAATTTACATTGGTATAGACTTCCTAACAAACAAGTTCAAGAATAATCTTTGATCATTTATAAAAAAGTCAACCCCCACTTTCCATCCAAAACTTTTCCCTGCCTCTAATGGCTAACCAACCATATATTTAAAATATTTGCTCCTTCCGCAATCAAAAAACTAAAAGTTTCATTTCAATAATAATTTATCTATTTTTTTTTAATAATATGTAAGCTTAAACTAAAATCCTGAGGAAATGTAATGCAATTCTATCTCAAAACTACCTTGTAGATAGGTAGGTACCTAACCAGTTATATTTCCAATACTTATAACATTTATACTTTTGTGATGTTGTTATTTTTCTCTTAAGTATTGGCTTATCGGGTTGAACTAAAGCGAAAAGGTTGTTTTTTGTACCTGAACAAAAAAAAGAACAGCAATCATGAGGATAGTTTTTGGGATCAGCTGTTACATACGTATTTTATGTTTATAATTTTTGTATTTTTTTTCTTAAATTCGAAAGTTTGCATCATTATCGTGGATTTTTGTAGCTGGCTCTTAGATCTCTTATTTATATTATAGATTAGAAGTCTTATTCATCTACTAGAAATATACAAGTAGAGAATGTAATAGATAAAATCAAATTGAATCTAGCTTTAAAAGTCATGGAACATTTGAAAGATCTAAACAATTTATTTTACGCATTTTTAAGCGTTTGTTCAATTTGTAGGTAACCCATACGTTCCTAGTCTATACCAATTTATTTTTCTATTTTGAAAAGAGTATTGGGCTAAGGAATAAAATTTGGAACAAAAACGCGTGTTTAGCCTATGTTGTTATTCTTAGTTAGGATAGAGGCCAAAAGAAATTTTGTCTGTAATTTTTATGCAAGCGGCCTATATGAGTTCTTGTAAACTTAACTTCCAAAATGGTAAAACCGCACCAAGATCTGTAAATGTCAAAATACCTTTTGATTCTAATAATGTTGGTGTTATACTGTTTTATATACTGAACTAAAATATAAGAAACACACCTCTGCGGTTAAAAATTAAAATTAAGGAAAAAGCGCGTACAAACAATTTAGTTATAAAAAATAGCTGGTAGGATACCAATAACGTTTTTTTTTACTGAAACTAGATTTTAAATTTTTTACCCATGTTCCTTTATTGTGTAAGTAAAGTTATATGTTAAGTATACCCCTAAGGGCCAGTTTATTCACCTTCTGATAAACTGTCAGGCTGATAGTTACCAGCAAGTTTATCTGAAGATAAATAAACCAAGCCTAAATCATTTAATCAAAGTCTATTTAATCTTGATAAACGATTTGTGTACATTTCGTTTTCGCTGCTTGATATTATTTAAGGTAATAGAAATCACTTGAAACCTTTTATCAAAAAACTATATGGATGAAATTTTCAGTTCCCAATTTCAAGAATATTTTGTTGCCTAAGATATACAGAATGTTGCAAAATTTTCATGCCAAAAACCTTTATTCAAAATATTTAATAATATTTTGCCTATTTGATTCATAGGAAAGAAATAATCATAACTAATACACCAATAATGCATACCTTATATACATACATAAATAATCTCAATAATTTTTATAATAACTAATCTATTAAGCATGGAAGTTGTGTCAATCTGTTGTTTTTAAATTAAAATATGCAGAAAGAGTTGAGTTAAAAGTCTCAACAAAAAAATGATGATTGTGATACTTACTGATAAGAATGTAACATAAATCGCATCCATATCCCATTTTGATTTAATTGTTTGTATTGAAAATGGGGCTATGGGCGACTTTTTTTACCTACACTATAATAATATATACCTATGCTAGGATAATATACACAATCAGTAGAAATAAAGAAATATTTATCTGATTTTTTTTTAATTCATGTCACACGCACGCCTCGCGGGTAATATGGGTAGGACCTCAGGTTTCAGGTTGCTCTTCGGGAAAACACACAACTACATACAAAAAGGAGCCTTAAGTATAGTGTCTGCTAGTGGCAAGAGAAGTGTAGCTACTGCTCCTTTGAGTAACGAGACCCTGAGGAGAGAAGGACCTAAATAGGTAGCGATACCATTGGCTGCATCGGTTTTTATATCCATTTCGTGTAAACATTAGTTTACGCGTTGACCTGCTTAAACTGCTGATTGTCGATGAATCGTGTTCTAGTTTTAATGGGTTTTCGAAATACAGAGGGGTTTTATCATAGACCAGTTGACATATGCCCCTCCTGTGAAAGCGTTGGTCCCCAACGCTAAGAACCATGTGATCATACCTTCACAATGATCCTACTTATTTTATTGTTCTAAATACAAAAACCAACAAAATCGTGAACCATAATACAAATATTCTAAAATCTATTTAAACCTGCTAAAAGGATGTAAAAATTAAACATGAAAATCAAATACCTACCAAACCAAGAAAATCGTAGACCATAATGATAATATTCTAAAATCTATTTGAACCTAGCAGAAAGTAAAAATTAATTAGTGAAGAATCACTTTTACCCAGATTACTTTTACCAGCTCTTGCTCCTCAAAGCTGCTGGACCCAGTATTGCCAGCATCAGTACAGATGTAATGAAATCAGTACAATTTGACTCTCTTCAGTACGTCAGTACCACAGTATAAAATTCAGTACATTTTGCCGCCGCTGTACAATACCGGGGATATTTTTAAACGGCGGGAAAAATTAACGAATACCTGAATTTTCGAATAGACGGACGGGGCGCACGTATGACTCCGGGTGCATCCCAGCAGAACATTGAACGCACCCCAAACATGCCTTTAGCCCGCGCCCATTTCACGCCGGTATAGACTTAATCTCGATTAGGAGTTTGATCTCGCTTAATTCGGAAATTTGTCATGCACCGCAGGAAAAAAGTAGTTTAAACTTTGGATTACAAGATCCACCCGAGAGGAGGGTTTTGCTTAGATAAGATGTTGCTTAGATCAAAAAAAATTCCAAGAAGGGTGATGACATGGCAATATTACTGAACTAACTTAAATTGCCTAACATATACAGGGTGTCCAAGACTCGATGGGTTTGGAGGGTTTCGGGTATTTCTAGAGCAGTTGGAAAAATCTTACCCTCACTTGAGAGCCTCGATTTTCAAGAGAAGTTGACCGGTGAAACCCGCATCTCCATTCTCTTTTAAGCTACAAGGGAAAAAGTCGACAAAATTTCCAAAAATAAAGAAGTTATAGACCCCCTGCTAAACTGCAAATTTTTGAAAAACCACTCGTAACATAAAAACGACTCGACATATCGAGATGCGGTTTGCACCAGTCAATTTCTCTTGAAAATCGAGACTCGCAAGTGGGAGTCACATTTTTTCCAACTGCTCTAGAAATACCCGGAACCCGCCAAAACCATCGAATCTTGGACACCCTGTACATTCTTGAGAAGCTAGAAGATATTAGCATTAAATTTCGTTGAATAAGTAACCTGCCCCAATCTGTAAAGTCAGATCTTTAGTGACTTTAGTTAGGTAAAGAGGTACCTAGTAGATAAAAAACAATGTTTTTCGTGAAGCTCATCGCCCATCCGAGTGTTTAATTAACCCACTAACCAAACCGTGACATATTAAAAATAATTTAAAATGAATGATTTTTTATTTGATGTTTTAAATTTAAAGCAGTAATACAGGAGTAGGAAAAACAAAATAAGTATCCTAAAACCATCTACTTTAGCAGTTTTATGAACTCCAGTTCAGTTAGTCCATTTTTCCGTTTTTCAGTACATTTTTTGTCTCTTGATCAGTACTTTAATTTTCAAGGGTCTGGCAACGCTGGCTGGACCATTGAAGCGATTGTGACCGCACCTCCGTCTTTGAATTTGGATCTGTCATCCCGACCATTAGTATTCGGAAGTAGGCCGTAAAGCGTCTTCACTGGCTTCTTTGGTTCTGCTGAATCCAGAGCGGACGACCCTGGATATGTTAGCAAAACGACTGCGTAATCGGGAACTCTTCTCTATGCCTTTTCAGTAGGTTATTTTCGTGCTTTTCGCATTGCTGCCGTTTCGAGAGCTCTAGCTTCCAAATTGAGACCTGGAACGACTTCTTTGGCTCACTTTCCCATATATGCTCTTGCTCTCATCTTCAACAACTCTACGGCATGGCCACTAATTTTTTCATAACGGTCTTCAACTCACTGTGTTTTTTATAAAATTCAACCGCTCCTAGTTTATGCACTCAGAAAAATTACATGGGTTGATTCAACAAAAAAAAATTGTTGAATAACAAATCCGATGATATTGTCAAATGAAACTACAATCTGTTTAATTTAATCAGAGCTTGAAAGTTATTTCTACCAATAAAAAATTGTTGCGACACAAAACTTGATTTAACTTAAAAAATAGATATTATAACTATTATTTTGCTCACTAACCAGGATTTTGGTTAAATTTTGTCAATTCATACCAGAAAATGTTTAATTCAGTTTTACCCATTATTGGATGGCATATTTAACAAATTTACTTGTTAAAAGTGACTATAATATTTTTGGAAAATTGAACTATTATTTAGTTCACTAACAGTTTTTTGTTAAAGTTTGTCAAACCAAACCAGTAAATGTTTAATGAATTTTCAACTATTAATGCATGGGATACTTAACCAATTTTAATAGTTTAGTGACAATGAAATTTTAGGCAAATTTAACAATTATTTAGTTCACTAACAGTTTTTTTGTTAAACGGCTTCATCAAACCAAACTAGAAATTGTTTAAACTGCTTTTAACCATTACTTAATGGTGAATTTAAACCACAATGTTGTTAAGTTACCAAAGAAATTTGTTAACTAACCAAATTTTATTTAAAGTCAACCCTCTGATTTGCTACATCTACAAAATTATTGTCCAAAATGCTTTTTTTTGGTTGGATTTACCTATTATTGCATACAAAATTTGAAATTTATATCGGTTTTCCTTGCCGTCGTCGGATTTAGACCAGTAGGTATTTCGCCCTCGTCTAGTGCAGACACAAGACAAACAGGTGAAACCTTACGGAATACGGACTTGCATTGGTATTAATCCAGATTAATCACTGATGATTAATGAATAATTCGTTCAAAGTGTTCGGACCCGAAGGGTAAGTCAGGATGGATAGCTTTCAAGAGAAATTATTCACAGATTCGCTTGTGGATTCTATCTACTAATTTGTTAAGAAAAAATATTTATGTTTATATCATTCAATAAAATATCTAACAAGTAGGTACCTACTTTTCTTATAGATACAACTAGATTTTTCGAACACACAGGAAAATCATACAATTTAGTATAGAAATGGAGCAACTTTAGAAATCTGGCAGTACCAATAGGTATTCAACGAAAAAGTCAAATATAAACAGAACATAAATCTTCTAAAACTGGGTTAAACACAATGAATCCCGAAGGTAAAATCTTAATATTGTTTTTTTACGATGTACCTTCTTATTTTAAAGCTATTTTTGTTTACAGATTCTCCATGTAGTAAAGATGACATGATAGTTGCCTTATCAATCCACTCACTGTTGCCACCTTGCTTCAAACACGCCTTATTTAAAAAGAAAACAACAAGGTAATTGTTAATGTGTCATTTCAAAAATAAATACCGCTACTTTGAACACTGTGTTTTAATTCGACGAAACTACCTGCCTACAAGTAGATAGACAAAAATAAGTTTGAACAACCAAAAAAAAAAAAATGTTAAGGTACCATCTAATGATACAGCAAACAAAAAATAGTTTATCAACTGAATGATTGGTATTGTACCTTCTATTTTGTTTCTATAACAAAAAATTTTGGATACTGAACAATTATTCAGTTACTCAACTGAATAATTGTTACTGAGCATGAATAATTGACATTATACACTCTATTTTGTTGCTACAACAAAAAATTTGGTTACTGAACTATTATTCTGGTAAAAATATGTTTAACTATTAATTTCTGGTTGTTATAACTATGAAGGTGGATAGGCGCATTTTCATATGCTCTTTCTGGTTTATTTGACCTATCATTTTCTTTGAGTGTGGTTGCGGATTTGGAGGACGAACAATATTTCTCGCTTGGCACGTGCTCTCCTATTTTTACTGCGAAGCCTTATTTCTATGTCCTATAGAAAGTTTTTTTTCCGTGTACCCAACTCAGTTCAGGTAACGACGTAGCATCGGCTGAGAAACGGCTATGTTCGTGTCTTTGACACATCGTTGAATGTCACTTTCATGAACAACTATCAGTACATTCAAACATCATTCCAGATACAATGGCGACAGTCCATAATTTCGTTTGGGAACTGTGCTCTCGTTAAGGTACTTCGATGCTAAATAATAATAAAATGACCCATTATTTACTTTTGCATTTCGGTGATCTAGTTATGTAATTATTTTTGACGTTAACACACTATTTTAGGGTTGAGAATCCGAGTATCAGGCATCAAATAGTGTGTTAACGTCAGAAATAATTACGTAACGTTACAAATGGGGCTTGTTTCGCATTAGGGTTCTACCAAGAAAAAATGCTGAAGATATTCAACAATTTTAACTGTAAAAAATATTGTATGGAAAAATATGTTTTTATTTTTTTCTCGCTTTCTAGATCACTGAAATAATGGGTCATCTTCTTTTTTTTATGCCCATTTCAACGAGCTATCCCAATACATATCTTGACATTTGAAAAAAAAAAGTTGGGGGTGGTTTCTATCCTCAAGAAAGGGGTAAATTCCATGAGAAGGCCGAAAAAATGTGCCAAACTAAAAATAAAGGGGACCCGTTCTTTTTTTAATTTTTCCAGAAGATAAACAGTCTTTCTGATACTGAATTTATTTCATTTAAAAATTCCATCCATCATACCAACAGTAACGAAATTAACCAAAAACATGAAAACTAACCCAAACTATTGTTTACTCTATGTAGAGAACTAACTCCGAAATAAACAAGAAAAAAAAACAATCAAAACTTACATAACTATATTTATCACAAAAATCAACAGAAAAAAGACAAGAAAAAACTAGGTAAATAAGTTCGAGTAGAGTAAAAATCAAACGAGTAGAAGACATTGACGTCAGCGCTGACAAAGAAGGCAGATTTGCTTTTCTCTGGGTCCCTCCCATTTGAAGTGAGACAAACGATAACGCGTGTGGCTTCTTCTCGTTTGATTTTCACTCTATCACCCCCAACTACTAACCTTGTACTTTGAAGGCACACTATCCTTACCCTTCCACTAGTGGTAGACAAAAGATTAACACTTGTAGAGCTTTCCTCAATTTAACCACCGAAACGTTAAACACATCTACTTTTAAATTATTTAATAAAGGTAAATACCTATATATCTAAGGGTTATTTACACCATAGCTGGTTCTATGGAAAGGAACATTGAAACAATATTGGCGACGCAAACCATGATAATAAGGCACATTCAAACCAATCTGACTCAAAAGACTAGGACAGTCAGTGACCCCACTGATGATTTTGTATATAAAAAACGCTCAAAGCATATCTCTGCGTTGGTTCAAAGGAAATAAAGATAATTTCTGTTCAATTTCCCCATAATCATGGTCTGTCAACCTAGAACCACCTTTTTCGGCACAAACACGCAAAAATTTGTGTTGAATTCTTTCCAAGGAATCCCTATATGCACCTGAAAAAATGGCGACCACACCACTGAACAATACTCTAAGGATGACCTTATCATATCATTATCATTATTTCAGAAGCCCCAAATTCGGTTGAAAGCAGAATTATTTATCTAATTGTAGATCAATTTTATCAAAAGTACCCTATACTATACACTAGACGAGGTAGCATATCTTGCCATGGTTTATGGTTTGTTGGAAAAGCGTATTAGAGAAAATATTCCCATCACATCATCAATTCCCATCATGTGAACACTTTTATGGATTTACTAACATGAAGCCATGATGGGATGACACATATTTCAGTAACTGATCATTTATATAATAGCTAGTTTCAATTCTATGAAGTTTTCTGGTAAAGCTTATAAAACAACATTTATTCACATTTGAGATACAATTTATTTCTTTGGCACCAATCAGATGAACGGTTCAAATCTTCCTGTAAAAGCACCTGTCACAGATATCCTCTACCGTTCTCCAGAACTTTAAATCATCAGCAAATTTCAGGCAACGACTATTTATAGAACATTCAACAATATCGTTCACAAATACATTAAATAGAAGCGGTGAACAATGCCCACCCTGAGGCACACCTGATGAGAACGAAATTTTATCAAAAAGCTCCCTATTTTAACTCGTTGGACTCTGCCTGTCAAACAGCTCCCAAACATTTAGCTTGAAATTGAATCCAATCTGCTGTAATTTCCTAAGTAAAATTCGGTGATCAACTCGATTGAAGGCCTTCGAGAAATCTGTATATAATGAATCGGTTTGTTTCCTATCCTCCATATTTCCTACGATATCAGTATGATAAGCTATACCAAATTTGTTGCAGTTGATTCATTCATAGAGAAGCCATGCTGCTCCTGTGAAATCATGCCTTTACACTGCTATGCTAGTTGTTTGCTCACAAGACAATCCAGTAACTTTGGTATGGCAGATTGATTGCAAACGTTACGATAGTTTTCAACGTTATCCCTCAAACCATTCTTAAGCACTGGAATAATGTAACTTTCCTTTCAAATATCAGGAAACACTGACGACCCCGAAATATTATTGCTCATATTGCAGTCCTTCCAACCTACATCAGAACTATCAGGCAATTTTTGATCCGGATTACGCGTGTAAACTGTTTGAAAAAAATCTTTAAACAAACCTACTATTCCCTGCCCTTTAGAAGCGCGTTTATTGTCATAGAACAGAGAAGCAGGTAGACTATGACCAGATCGCTTGTCATTTATGTTCTTCCAAAAAGACTTCGGATCTTCCCTCAATTTCTCATCGAAACCAGTAATATAATTTGCAAAACAAATATCCGAAATCCTTTTGCACTGCGAGTGTACCTAATAGGAGAAAACCTCATGTAACTGTCATTGGAATGATCCTTTATTTTGTAAACTGAATGTGCTTTTTTTTCTGTATAGTTAACTGACGCAATTCTGAAGAAAACCATTTTGGGAAAGGAGTTGTTTTATACTTTTTTAGAGGGATAAAGCAGGCAATAGCTGTTTTCAATATTTCATAAAACAAATCAGTTGATTCATTAATATTACCAAAGAATAAACAATTGACCCAGTCAATTGATGCCAAATAATTTTGTAGCTCTACATATCAACCATTCCCAATATCATAGTAAAATTCACTGTAAGCTAATTTGTCAGCCTCCAATTCACCATCATAAGGCGATATAAAGGATTCCTAACTAATGTAGTGGATACTGAAGCCCAAAATAAGAGAATCGCAAGCCCTGGTTACAGCTAAATCCTTAACATTTGAAAACACTAAATCCAAAAAAATATTCCTATCATTAGGTATTTCATTGACTTGAGAAAGCTTAAGAAACCCAAAAGATTGAGCTACCTGCATTGCTGGGTCTCCACCTGGACATTGCACCATTGTTCCAAACTCGTCATTGGACCACACTGCATTGGGTAAGTTATAATCTCCAAATAAGTACACATTCATCCTTGGATATTGCTCACATAAATGTTTTACCGACTCACAGCGCCAGACATAGGATTCACGTGATGACTGAGGAGGTATGTAATCCCCCAATAACAAATCTGGATTTATTTATTTGACATAGAATAAAGAGATAGCTGCTCAATTCTACCCTCATCAACTCTGATGCATTGTGAACTAATACTGCTTCTAACAAAGATCAAAACTCCACCACCACTTGACTTGCTACTGGTTTTGGAGCTTCTGTCACATCTAAATACATTAAACCATCTAATTTTACTTCACTATCAGAAAAATCCTGGCTCAAGTTGCTTTTTACCAGAATAATAATATAAGTACAAAAAAAGTTTAAAATAAGGATAGTCAATAATTGATTATGAAGATTATGAAGTTTTGACAAATTATTAATAATTTCAGAACAGAAGAAATTTCAACAAATTACAAAATAAGTCAATAAAAGCTATCCTAGCCTAGCAGGTAAAATAAAATAATGTGACATGACCGTCATGAACCGCCGTCATGCGCGCTGGTCATGACCCACTAATTAGCTTTGCTTTGGTTTAAAAAATGGATGGTTCTAGAACGGTTCAATACAATCGCAGTTTATTAATCAACAAAATGACAACAGCTCGGCTATCAATAATTCCAATAAAAACTGTACGATTTTTTTCGACCGTTTTAGAACAGTCATATATCAAACCAAAACAAAGCTTTTGTCTTTAGACTTCCCCTAGTTTTTTCAATTAATAGACAGGACCTCAATGTATAAACTTTAATTTTAAACACACTGTATATCAAAAAAAAAAAATAATAATAAAACTTAGTCTTAGAAACTTCATGTGGGGAAGTATTTGTGTAACATTAATTTTTTTCATCGGACATGGAAAAAAACATTCGAATATGTATATTTCTGTAGGAATTTTAACATGTTTTTGAACTTTTACACAAATATTTCCGTTCATGCCATTTTGACAGACTATAAAGCTTAATAAAAACATTATGGACTAAAGTCAGGATTTTTCCTCAGTATCACAAATCCTTCCATTATGGGTGTAAGCGAAAGGTATTCTTCTGTTGCCAGCTCGGCTCTTTCTCCGTGTGCTAATAGTACTGGCGTTGTGTGAGTTTGGAAACCAGTTATCGTTTTCGGTTTGCCAGCTTGCCCTACCACATCCACAGCCTAAAATTATTTAAGTATTAAATTAAAAAAAAATATATAAAATAAAAGCCACACTATGCAAATGAAATTAAAACTTACACTCAAATTATTTCGCACAATCGCACTACAGTTAAAAAATTTCTAGCAACCAAAGCATTCTATAACTTGACGGAATATTATCTTAACCGAATAACTTAGTAAATAACATAATTCGTTTAAACTTCAACTTCAACTAATAACACTGTTCGTGGTGAGTTTATTTGATCGTCTTTTACTGCGCATATCTTGATCTTAAATGTGGTATTTTTTGTTCTATACTTTCTTTGAGGTTTCAGCCACTATGTGGGTTTCTAATTTGTTTTTGGGAACTTGCTATTTTATTCTATTTTATTTTATTTTAAGTTATTTGTTTTGTTTTATTTTATTTGTTTAGTCTACTCAAGTATTGCATAATTTAAAGTTTAATTGCTTACCTATTACATAGTAATAAGAATTGCTTTGTCAATGAAATATGTTTATTTTGAGACAATTGAGATTGAGATTGAGATTGAAAGGAAAATATTTGAAGTTCAAATCTTCGAAAATATGTTCCAAATTTGGATAGAGAAATGTTGTTGTTGGTATGCAACAACAATTTCATGGACAAATGTTCGCTAACATTGTCAACCTACCCTCTAAAACCAGGTACTCACTCAGAGATTGAATTTTGTGATGTTAATCGAGTAATTAAAGATACAGTTTTGCAGGTCATAGATAAACGAAAATTTCCCCTTCCTTGCACAGTGTGGATGGTTGATAAATTGAAATGTTTTTGTAGTTATACTACTTACCAAACCAACACGAACGGGTACAGGTAATGGATTGAGATCTTCATCAAAGGTGACCAACATTCTAGGCTGCATGGCCGCTGCTAATGTGTACAGTAAATAGTGTGATTTTCCCAGGATAACTAGAAAACATTTATATTGAGAACATTACATGGCTCGGGTATTTCAGAAACTCCTAGCTGATTCTAGTTGTTAATTTCCGAAACAACCCATGTGAAGTAACTTACTGTTTTTAACATCTAGAAAACCAACTAAAGTAGCCATTAGGCCAGCAACTGCTACAGGACTCATTAGCTGCCTGTCACTATGATAAGGGCAAAGCGTCAAAGTTCCTTTTCCTAAATGAGTTAACCCTTGTGCAATCCTGACCATGAAAAGATTATTGGGATCTTTAGCATGATATTGTGCTAGTTGACGTAGCATAGCAGCTAATCTTGCATTGTTAGTGCCAGCGCCCACTAAGCCCATTGCAAATATAGCATTATGAGCAACTTCTGAGTCACTGTCATGGGAAAATTTACTTAAAGTATCCAGAATACTCAATTTTGGGTTTGAGACAGAGATAAGACCTAAAGCTAAAGGTACGGCCCTTCTAATAACAGGCTCACAATATCTTAATAGATTTCCAAAGGTTCTAAAAGCCATTTCACTGCCAATATCCTCTCCCATACTTATAAGGGCAATGCCAAGGACAGCAATAGCTTGCCTTGCTGAATGATCTTTTTCCTTATCTTCTGATTTTTCTTTTTTATCCTTATCTTTGTCTTTTTTGTCTTTTTCAGATGTATCAGTATCATAGTGTTCAGAACAGATGTGGAGCAATTGTTGGACTTTTAGTACGTTTCCTGTACCCGCATAGGCACAAATATCCACCATAGTTGTTGCCATAGATCTAAAAACAAATAGATACAAAGCTAAAACATAATTAATTAAAGTGTTAATAATAATTCCTTTATTGTCATAGGATTGCAAAGGTATCACACCAAAAAAATCTTATTCAAAAATATTTTTCAAAAGAGGAATGATTCACACATTCATCATTTCTCATTCCTTTTTTGCTCCGTAGCATGACTGTGGACAGTGGAAACTGGTAAAAATCGAGTGATGAAATGTTTTCTTACAAATAGTAGTTAGAAATGACCACAGACCGATATTCCATAGCTCATGTTGGAGAAAATTAATGAGCCAGTCATTACTGCATAATCAATTTTCTGTTATATACGTCTGACTAGAAAAAAAGTTTGCTAAGCACCTTTTTTTTAATCACCCTGTTTATAAAATTAAGTGAAAATTATTACCCAAATGGTTCAGCAAGAACTGCCAGAGCAGCAATTACTGTGTCAATACTATCTTGCTTTCCCAAATTACATAAGCCAAGTCCCAAGGGTATAAATCTAGCGTAGGTATCCTTCTTCAAGTCCTCTTCGGATTTTTCCATCAATGTCTGCATGAGGATCATAGTTACATGGGAATTTTCAGAACCAACTGAAATCATTCCACAGGCCAAAGCAGCCATTCCAATAACTTCCATATTAGAACTTTGATCCGAAAATACTGGGTACAGTAAGTCAAGTACTGCTTCTCTATTAGAGCCTACATAGGCTAATCCCAGACCTAATATTGCACCAATTCTTATGATAGGAGCGCTATGCATAACATAGTCACTTAATAAGGCAAGAGCAGGGTCGCATTCATTTCTGACACCGCAATTAACTATACCACATGCTAGAAGTGCTCCAGATTTGATATGATCCTCTGAAGAGTATAAGTACTTGTCAATTGGAGTTAAACCGCCATCAACATCCCATAAAAGTACTAATCCAAGTGAAGCTGTTGCGCTCATCATTCCATGATCTTTGTTTTTGTAGAGCCACTTATTACCATCCTCCATGAGAAGTTTATCTTGCCCAAATGCAGTATTTACAAACCCATTGACAAAACTGGCAGCAAGATTTTGTTTTGCGGAATCTACTTGACTACCTCCAAAAGAAGGTCTGGTATTTTCTAAATGAGATTTGTAAACATCTTCAGGAGTTTTTGGTTCCATGATGTCTAATTCCCTTGCCAAGTTCAGGAAATGATTGTTCAAATGACAGTTGGCCATTATCTCTGTGAGATCTTCATATTCTGGAGTGGTTTCAGGGACTTCAATGTAGATTTGTTGGCGCCCTAACATAAAAGCCAGTTGCTTTTGGACAATGCTGAAATGATAAATAATTAATATTTCTGTCAGTCTTAAAATAATTATGTTTAAACTCACATATCTGGACAGGATAGAAATATTTCTTTAATAAGTTCTTTTTCATTCAACTTCATGCCTAAACGTAGAGCTTGAGGATACTGACCAAATTTTTTAAATAGCATTAGAGTAGTTTGCAAAAGTGTTGTGTTTTCTGGATCAGCAACATACTCAACACAACTGAAATAAAGAAGGGTGATTATCAAATTCAACTTCAACTAAACAAAACCAAAAGATCTACCTTGTAAGATACAAGCAAACTCTGGTGTAAATATTCTCATCCACATATCTTTCCAAAAGATCAAGCCTTTCTATTTCCATGAGCAAGTCGCAAGCTTCAGCTTCAGCATTGTGAGCCATATTGTAAGGAACAATTTGTTCGGCCAATTGAATCACTTTTGCTTCCATATCTTTATCATCTTCATCCTTTTCACCCCATTCAGCAGCAATTTCGCCAGAAAGATGTCTGGAAAAAACATTTTATGATTTCTAACCCATAAACTAAACTATACATGGGTACATGTTACTACGAGGTATAGAGGGTATTTCACGATATCTGGCAGAAAAAGCGAGGCAGACAAATTTATCTATTTGCCAAGTAGCGGTTTTTGTCAGAAAATGGAAACTATTTAAATCACCCCTAGTTAAAGTCATTCGCTATGTAGCAGCGGTTCTTAGTTTAACCAAGTAAAAATAAAAGTACATATATCTAATTAAAGTGTTATAGTTAAATATTAAAGATACGAGTTAGCACTTTCGAAAAGTGAACACAGATTTTTTTTTTTTTTTAATCAAAACCGAGATGAAAACCCTAAAACCTACATTTTTGTCCAAATGAGAAGTTTGATTTTACTGAAAGCATAAAAATAATATTGAAAATTGAAATTAAAAATATCTTTATTTAAATAGGTTTAACCTAATATACAAAAAAAATTATACACTATATAAATTATCCCTTATCTTGCAAAAGTACAAGAGTATCTATACAAATATTATTCCCACTCCTAAGGCGGTTACACACGGACGTGGATGTCTGAAAACATGTACGTACATACATGAACGCGCAAACAAAAACATCAATGTGTATGCTAAATATCGTCGCGTTTTTGAATGTGGAATCGCTAGAAATTTTGTATGCACACTCGGATTACAGTAGCAAGAATAGGCGGTTACACACGGACGTAGATGTCTTAATACATATACGTGCATACATCAACGTGCAACCAAGAACGTGCATGGCGCTTTTGTACACACGCTCGTACAAAACTGCAGTCTTGCTATTCTTGCTACACACCGAGTGTGCATACAAAATTGCACATTCAAAAACGCAACGATATTTTGTATATACATTAAGGCGGTTAAACACGGACGTGGATGTCTGAAAACATGTACGCACATACGTGAACACGCAAACAAAAACATCAATGTGTATGCAAAATACCGTCGCGTTTTTGAATGTGCAATTTTGTATGCACACTCGGAATACTGTAGCAAGAATACCAAGACAACAGTTTTGTGCGAGCGTCTGTATAAAGGCGCCATGCACGTTCTTGTTTGCACGTTGATGTATGCACGTATATGTATTAAGCCATCCACGTCCGTGTGTAACCGCCCTTAGGCGGTTCCACACGGACGTGGATGTCTGAAAACATGTACGCACATACATGAACGTGCAAACAAAAACATCAATGTGTATGCAAAATATCGACGCGTTTTTGAATGTGCAGTTTTGTATGCACACTCGGAACACTGTAGCGAGAATAGCAAGACTGCAGTTTTGTGCGAGCGTCTGTACAAAAGCGCCATGCACGTTGTTGTTTGCACGTTGATGTATGCACGTTTATGTATTAAGACATCCACGTCCGTGTGTAACCGCCCGATGTTTTTGTTTGCACGTTCGTGTATGTACGTACATGTTTTCAGACATCCACGTCCGTGTGTAACCGCCTATACACAAAACACCAAAGTTCCATACTATATTCAATCCAGGATTCAATCCCAAAAAAAAAAGACAAAACCAAAAATAGTGCAGCAAAACTTAAACTGATACTCATAACTTATATTTACTTATTCTCTAAAGCATATTACCTAAAGGGCCCCATACACTACGATGAAACACGACAGTTTTCATCGCCACAATAAAACACGTCGTTCTAAAACCGAAGTGTGTGATAGAAAAACACGACAGTTTTCTACAGGGCCCCACAGACAACGATCAAACACGACGGTTTTCATCGCCACGATGAAACACGTCGTTCCAAAACCGAAATGTGTGGTAGAAAACCGCCGTGTTTCATCGTCGGTTTAAAATTCAGTCCGAGCTTGATTTTTGGCACGACGGTTCAACATTTCGTACACACAAACGGTTTTCTACCACACATTTCGGTTTTGGAACGACGTGTTTCATCGTGGCGATGAAAACCGTCGTGTTTCATTGTAGTCTGTGGGGACCTGGAGAACACCGTCGTGTTTTTCTATTACACACTTCGGTTTTAGAACGACGTGTTTCATCGTAGCGATAAAAACCGTCGTGTTTCATCGTAGTGTATGGGGCTCTTAACATTGATTCAATGGCTCAACAATATTTCGTTTTATATTCTACAAAATTCTCACCTGACATATTCATGACCCCATTCTCCAATCTTATCCAAATCTGACAAAAGTCTATATTTCAAACATTCACGCCCGTCTCCCAAAGTCATGGCCAAAACTGAAATAATATCAGCGCACACCCTTTGGACTTCTGGGTTTTTGATTTTATCATAAACTTGCTTCATGGTATCATAATGGGGTTTCATAAACTTCAATGGTTTTGGCACCGAAGTCATAGAAGTTGTGGAAGCTTTAATTTTCATTGAGAGAACATTAAGAGCGGATAAATATAGATTTTCATCATTTTCCTAAAAGAAATGTCAGATGTCAAAATTTAAAACAGTTTAATACAATTTATTTACATATGAATTGGAATAAGCTATTATATATTATTAAAGCACATTTTAAAGTAAATACCTATATTTTTGGTTTTATTATAGTACTTAGGTAATTTTGTTTGAAATTATTCTCATTTAGATTATTGCCTAATGCCTATTAATAAAAACAATTACAGTAGAACCCTGATTATCCAAGTCGCAATTATCCGAGCTCTGGATTAACCGAGCCAATCTAAGGAACCAAAGATCCTGATTATCCGAAGTATGCGCGTCTATACTCTGTATTACCCGAGTTTCTAAAATATGCATTTTTTGTTTTTTTTTTTGATATATTTATAACTGACCCTGAAACAGAAATTCTGGTGATGGGGCCTATGATTTACAATAATCAAATCAAATTGACCAAATATTGGCTTAGGCATACTTAAATACCTATATCCTATTATTTACTATTTATATATCTGTAATTCTTAAATATATGTATAAATATATACAGGGTGTCAATTTGAAAACTTCCCACCCCTATTATCTCGGAGCAGAAAAATTTTCGAAAAAATCCCTGAAACACATCAACTATATTTTGAAGGGGGATGAGTTTTTATGCAAAATTCATCTTCCCTATTTCAACCCCTCAACCCCCAGAGTCACCCCCTAGAAAATTTTAAATGGGAAGAGGGGTCAAGTGATACATCATTTTGGAGGGCTTTTAATTCCATACATTTTGGTACAAAATTTTGATCCCTAAGTTCAACTGTTTTGGAAATATTGACAGTTGAAAATTGAGTTTAAGGCAACTTTGACAAGCTGTACAACCTAAACGGTTAATTTTAGAGGAAAACCGATCTTACATTCTTGTCTTAGATTTTTCTAAACTATCATTTGACAGCAACTTCGAATTTAATCTACGATCAAAAATTCCGGTTGAAAATTTAATCTCCGGTTAAATTCAAAAATGTTGTCAAATGATAGTTTATGAAAATCTAAGATAAGAATGTAAGATCGGTTTTCCTCTAAAATTAACCGTTTAGGTTTTACAGCCTGTCAAATTAGCAAAAAAGTCAATTTTCAACTGTCAATATTTCCAAAACAGTTGAACTTAGGGACTAAAATTTAGTACCGAAATGTATGGAATTAAAAACCCTGCGAAATGATGTATCACTTGACCCCCCTTCCCATTTAAAATTTTCTAGGGGGTGGCTCTGGGGGCTGGGGGGTTGAAAGGGGGGAGGTGAATTTTGCATAAAAACTCATCCCCCCTCAAATTATAGTTGACGTGTTTCAGGGATTTTTTCGAAAATTTTTCTACTTCGAGATAATAGGGGTGGGAAGTTTTCAAATTGACACCCTGTATAATATATAAATTTACATATGAATACATCTAATAACTCATGTATGTATAGTCTCTCTCACAAATTTTTTTAGGTTTTGAATGGTTTTTTTGTAATCCCCAGTCAGTAGTTCATCTGGAATGCTGTTATATGTTTGGATGCTTCGTTGATAATGGGAATCCTGCATTTTCTTGGTTCTGGCAAATGTAGTTCTGAGAGCATTTTTTGATCTTATATCATATTGATGAATGTCTTTATTTTGCTTGAAGGTAGTGTTTGTTTTAAGAATGTTATTCTGTGCACAATGTATTAATTTTGTTTGCTCAATACTTTTTATTCGGTTAATTGTAAGGAATTTGTATGTCTGATATACCTAATTCTTCACTGGGTGTATTATAATTTAATGAAAATAAAGCTTTAATAGATTTATTTTGCACTCTTTTCAACTTTTTCATGAGTCAGTTGCTTGTTTTTCCCCAGCGGGGAATTAGGTAGCGTAGGTGTGGTTCAATAAAGGAATTGTAGAGTAGGTATCTAGTTCTCGTATTTAGCTGATGAGAGCATCTTCTTAAAGCTCCAATGGTTGGTGCCACTCGAGATATAATGTAATTTATATGGGACTTCCAAGTTAAATTACTTGATATAATTAGACCAAGGTATCTATACTCGGTTAATTGTTTCAGGACATGGTTGTTTAACATAATTTTTTGATTACAATATTTTTTCCCTGTTTGTTTGATATTCATGTACACGGTTTTCTTTACATTGATCGTTAATTTATTGTAGCACAGCCAATCAAAATATAACTGAAGGTCCTTGTTTATGGATTGCTCCGATTTTTCTTTGGTATCTGCAAAACATACTAGAACAGTGTCGTCAGCGAACATAAAGTATTTACACTGGAGTTGGAGATATTTAAGACTATGCACATATAGGAGATATTGCACTGGTCTCAGTACAGAACCTTGGGCGATTCCAACCCGAACATCCTTGAGGCTGCTAGCACAGTCGTGTATTGTTTTCTGTCAGTACTGTATGATTTCAAGAGGTCGTTGCATTTCCCCCTAAATCCTTGTCTGTCCAGTTTGTCAATCAATAAGTTTATGTTCACTGTGTCGAACGCTTTTTGGAGGTCAATGAAAACTGTAATAACATACTTATTTTTGTCAATTTCGCCAGCTATGTGGTCCATAATGTACATACATATTTCTATTTAAAATCATCGGGCTGACGAGGAATCCTTATTATTCAAATCAAATCAAATCAAAATATGCTTTATTGTCTAAAATCAAGTTTTGTTGACAAAGCTAATAAAAAAAAAAATTAAAAAAAGTATTACATAATAAGTATAAGTGCAATAATAAAGGTCAAAATAGATTCAAACATTACAGGTCCTAAAGTCAACATACAAAATATAAAATATAAAACAAGCAAACACAACTAAGTCTAAGTGTAACACGAATATTGGTAAACTTCAAAAAAAGATAAAATTTTAATTTTAAAAAGCAACAGATGAACAGGAGAGATCAAATCAATACTCAACAGAAAGCAGGAAGTAAAACGGTTTAAAAATACAATAAAACTTACAACTATTAAAAATCAGACAAATAGTGAAATTGGAATACTATACAAAAAATACAATAATATATTCCAAATAAGTTAAAAGTTAAAAAGTGTCACCATAGTATTCTCCCAACTCATAATATGCCCTCTCCAGCAAAAGTCTTTTAACGGCGTTCTTAAATTGCCCGAGGGTAGGATAAAGCTTTATATATTCAGGTAGGTGGTTATAGATCTTACGACTCTCATAAATAATTGAATTTTTAACTAAGGCAGAGGAAGGAATTGGCAAGCTTAAATAGTGTGACCGTCTAGTGCCATACAAATGACCGGGCATTGGTAAAACATCCCTACGCTTATAAATCATACAGACCGTTTCCAAAATAAACAGTGATGTAAGAGTTAGAATTTTTTTAGATTTGAATAGAGGCCTGCATGATTCTCTACTATTTACGTTACACATATAACGAATGGCACGTTTTTGTAGAACAAAAATAGGATGTATTAGGTTATTACTCGCATTTCCCCAAAATACAATACCATAACCCAAATGAGATTCCACCAAAGCATAGTAAACCCTCCTCGCCATAGCATTGCCTAGCTCTCTTGATATTGTGCGCACTGCATAACATCCTGAAGCTACTTTCTTCATGAGGTTATTAATATGAGTGTCAAAATGTAAAGACCGAGGTAAAGACTTATCAATAAAAACTCCCAAAAACCTAGTTCCAGGCTTAGCCAAAAGAGGATCCTCGCCAAGATAAAGAGTATTTAAATTACAATGAAAATTTAGAATAGTGGTCTTGTCAACATTCAGAGTCAGCAAGTTAGCATCGCACCACTGTTTAATTTTTGGGAGATTTGAAGAAACCTTTTCCTCTAACGCCTCGACGCTTGAATCACGCCATAATATAGTAGTGTCTGCAAAAAATGTGAACTGACCCTCAATATTGACAAAAGCAAGATCATTAATATACATTAAAAAGAGAAGAGGGCCTAGTACAGAGCCCTGAGGAACCCCATGCTTGACCTTATTGGCCTGAGATATTTGGGAACCAAAGATGACTTTGTGAGAGCGCCCTTCAAGATAGGAGCGAAACCAGTCCAAAACCTTCCCTCTGAAACCATAGTTTTGAAGCTTGCACAGCAGAATTCCATGACTGACGCAATCAAAAGCTTTTGATAAGTCACAGAAGACCGCTGCGAGAGCCGAGGCGAGAGCCTCACCTGCATTAAAACCAAAGTAAAGGACCTCGCACATTTCTTATGGAAAATGGCTTTCGGCTAAATTTTCTGAAAATTTGAGATAATGTAGTTCTCGATGTCCTGATTAAAAGTTCTCATGGGCACAACTCAATCCTATGATCAGTTTTTGAGTTACGGGTTGTCTAAATTGGCTTTTTTAGACTTTGAGATATTGATTTTTTTTCAACATATTAGTTTATATTTCCTCGATAAGTACATTTAAATTAAAAGTTTTTACTCTAAGTTTTAGGCGTTTTGGTGTCTTCTTAAAATGTGGTATAAAAGTTCCTACAGCGTCTTACACAAAATGGTGGCGGCAAAAAAATGTCAATTTAGAAAATGTCGCAAATAACTAAATTCGATCAATTGTGTAGAATACAAAAACGAACGGCTAGATTTTGCCCTATTTTCAATATGTTGTTATCAAAAGTATACTTAAGAATCCCTACTATAGTTTTGGATCCAAAATGTTATACCAGGTGTTCATTTTGTGCCAGGGCCCTGGTGTAGATGGTAAATGCCGACTGCAAGCGGGGTTCAAGTTCAAATGCTGTTTCAATGGGCATTATTTATTGTTTTAAGTTTACCATAGGAATAGAGTTCACTAAAATTGATATTGTCGGCCATAGTGTACAAAATATAAAATAGTCTGAGGACTGACGAGTATGTGACCTTTTTTAAAAGTGTATAAATAACCATTCTCACAGATATAGCGTAGGAATAAAGAGTGCCATCCCATCAGACTTATACCTATCTACTTAAACTAATAAACGTAATAATTTTTTTCATTGCCTCACTTTGGGCAATCAAAATGACTCCACTAAACAGGCCCTATCTCAGGGTCTATTTGTACAGTTTTAAAACAGATGAGACTATTCTATGTTTCTCACGCTTAGTCAATATTATCAATTTTAGTGAACTCCATTCCTACGGTAAACTAAAAACAATGAATAATGCCCATTGAAACAGCATTTGAACTTGAAACCCGCTTGCAGTCGGCATTTACCATCTACACCGGGGCCCTGGTACAAAATGAACACCTGGTATAACATTCTGGATCCAAAACTATAGTAGGTATTCTTAAGTATACTTTTGATAACAACATATTGAAAATAGGGCAAAATCTAGCCGTTCGTTTTTGTATCATACACAATTGATCGAATTTAGTTATTTGCGACTTTTTCTAAATTGACATTTCTTTGTCGCCACCATTTTGTGTAAGATGCTGTAGGAACTTTTATACCACATTTTAAGAAGACACCAAAACGCCTAAAACTTAGAGTAGAAACTTTTAATTTAAATGTGCTAATGGAGGAAATATAAACAAATATGTTGAAAAAAAATCAATATCTCGAAGTCTAAAAAAGCCAATTTTGACAACCCATAACTCAAAAACTGATCATAGGATTGAGTTGTGCCCATGAGAACTTTTAATCAGGACATCGAGAACTACATTATCTCAATTTTTCAAAAAATTTAGCCGAAAGCCATTTTCCATAAGAAATGTGCGAGGTCCTTTCCTCTAAAAATGTATACAGTGAGGACATAAAGTCCGTCGCCCCCCCTCTAACTTTTGAACCGCTCGGTATCTTCCAACGAAATTTGAAATGATGATATGTGGCCAAATTCTCCATCTTCTGAAAAACAAATGACAGCTTCAGCTGTCAAAATGACAGCTGAGCGCGGATTTACCACATTTTTTTAAATAAAAGGCAGTGTCGAGTGATAGATGGTTTTAAAGATCTCTTTATTCTTAATTTAATCCCCGATTCTGAAAACATTTGGTTTAGTGGTTTTCAAATGATGGCGAAACAAAAAAGGCTTGTTTTGGTGATAAAAATTTTTTTTAGTCATTGAATCAATATTTTATGAGTACTTTTGTTGTTTTTTCAAGTTACCAATGTCATTACGTCATTATTATTACTGAAAAAAAACAATAATGAGTGAAAAACCGATAAAAAAAATTTTTGATTTTTTTTTATGAGCGTTTATGAGCAAAACAAGCCTTTGTTTTTTTTGTGATCATTTGAAAACCGCTGAACTTAATGTTTTCAGAATCGGGGATTAAATTAAGAATAAAGAGACCTTTAAAATGATATATCACTTGACACCGCCTTCTATTTAAAAAAAACGTTTCAAAACTCCGCCCAGCTGTCATTTTGACAGCTGGAGCTGTCATATGCATTTCAAAAAATGGAGAATTTGCTCACATATCATCATTTCAAATTTCGTTGCAATATACCGAGCGGTTCAAAAGTTAGAGGGGGGGCGACGGACTTTATGTCCTCACTGTATATTGCATCATCAGTACTTTTCTTAGTTTGGGAACCAAACTGATCTGAATTTAGTATCTGATGATAGTTTTAAAATGATAAAACCCGCTTTTTAACCAACTTCTTGACAATTTTCGAAAGGGTTGATAATAGAGAAATTGGCCTGAAATTTTGAGGTTCATCCAGATTCCCACCCTTATGCAGAGGAATAACACTTGCAGTCTTTAAAGTATTTGGAAATTTTCCTATTTCCCAGGAATAATTAAACGCTCCTGAAAGGGCATCAAGTGCAGGTTGAGGAAGAGCAAGAAATATTTTCAATGATATGCTGTCTTCACCAGATGAGTTTTTATTTTTAATAGATTTTATAGTTTGTGTGATTTCTCTAGAGTCAGTTGGAAAAAAGTAAAATGATGGCTCTATTTGAACATGTTTCAAGTAATCCATTGGATCAACAATTGGAGTTAATTTTGACATAAGAGAACTTGCAATTGAACAATAATAATTATTCAATACTGTTGGAGTCATATCAGGAACATTAATCCTAGATTGATTATTAACTCCTCTCAACTCATTTATAATATTCCAACTTTCTTTCTGAGAATTGCTTGCTGTAGCTAAACGACTGCTATAGTATAGTTCTTTTGCATCCTTAATTGTCCTTCTATATATGGATCTATAATGTTGGAAATAATTGAGAAATGCATTATTGTCAGTAAATTTTCTGAGAGCATGGAGACATCTCATATTAGGAGAAGTTCTTAATCCAACAGTCATCCAAGGTTTTTTGCACCGAATCTTAATTTTCTGGATAGGAAAAGCTCCGTTAAATGACTCCTGCAAAATGGTGTGAAAGATTTCAAGAGGTTGCCGCATTCGAATATACTTTCCCATCGAATAGACATACATATTTTATTAAATTTTCCATACTTGTTCTACTAAACAGTCTACCAACTTTGTATTTACTTTCCTTAGTATTAATGGAACATGAAATCTTACCAAGGATAGTTTCATGGTCACCTAGACCCAAGTTAAAAACCGAACAAGAAATATTAGACAAATCAAGAGATGAACAAAAATAGTCAATTGTGGTGGAAGAAGATCTACTAATGCGAGTGGGAGAATCTATGTGCATGGACAGATTAAAAGACTCAAACAAATTACACAAATTAAGTCTATCAACTGAGTTTGATTCATCGTAATTAATATTAAAATCACCCAATAAAATCAAGTTACTCCTGTGTGGAAGCAGAGACAAGAGCTGTTCTAATTTGATTAAAAAAAAAAATTGTGTTAGTTTCCGCGTTTGTAGTTGGACTACGGAAAATACAGACAATGTACAAATTAATTGTTTTTGAAAAGATCATAGAAAATTCAAAAACTTTTTCCTTTAATAAATCATCAAATCTGTTGATATTATGAAAGCTGTTACTTGCTAAGAAGGATCTTTTTGCCATTATCATAGTACCACCATGCTCCAACGTCGTTCTACAATATCTAGACAAAGTCATATACTCATGTGAGTGGTTCCCCTCTTATGTTTTTGGACTCTTCTCACTCTTTTAGCATGTAAATTTGTGTAAATCCGGATTATCCGAGTTTTTGGTTATTCGAGGACGGTGCCCCCCACTTTACCTCGGATAACCGGGGTTCTACTGTAGTAAGTAATGATTGGAGTTATTTCGACTTGATTGGTTTCATTTATGTACCATTCAACTTATTTACCTTTGTTTAAGAAGTTTGATGCATGATGATATCAAACAAAGGCGTTTATAAAAAAACTTAACATTCATTTCAAAAGTTGACGAATTATATAAACACTCCTGGGCATAAAAAACTGGATAAACAAAATTTTGTTAAATTTCAATCTTGAATATATTTTTTTCAATTTTGCATCGAAATTGATCATTGTTTGTCAAATGAAATGATAGGCGCATTTATCTTGATCATTATTCAATATTGTGTTTGCAAAAAGTTCGAATGGATTTGGTGTGACCATAAGCGATAAGTGTTCCTTAAAGTGACATTTCTCTATGTAAAAATGTCATTTTAAGGAATACTTATCGCTAAGGCTTCCTAAAAATGGTCAGTGCAAATGGCCATTAGACCTCGATTTAGGGTGGGTATTGTAAAACTATTTTGACAGTTGACTTTTTTTTTTTAATAGGCATTTATTGTTGAACTTTAAGCAGTACAGTTGCGGCCATTGGAATTGGCACAAATTTTCGAACGCAGTTTATATTGCATCAAAATTTGACTTTTTTACAAGCTGTGAATGCCAAAATTGTTTCAGTTTTGGTTAGAATACAAAGCGCGTTCAAAAATTTGTGCCAATTCCAATGGCCGCAACTGTACATAATACAATGTCTGGTAACAAGTCCTATAATATAACATATATAAAATTCCTGATTAGGTTCTATACTAATCTCTATAAATATTATGTTAGTACATCAACAAAATTAATTTAAACTACCCAACTAACACTATGTAATGTAATATGCCTAATATTAATGATTATATACTCAAATGCTGTTCTGATAATGATAGTAATGATCATGAAAACAAAGAGCAAAGATAGAAAAACAATATAAAAAAAATAACAGTATACCGGAGAGTATACCTATAAACTAAAAAACGCTCGAGATCCAATGGAAAAAAAATCAATTTACAATCAATGCTTATTGTCCTATTCGTTCCCTAAATATCGAAATAACTTAAAAGTTAACTTCTGGAATGACTTTACTTCCCATAGTAATTCCACAAGTTGACTTTTTGCTATCTGTCAAAATAGTTTTATAATACCCGCCCTTAGACCTAGGGAGTATATGCAAGTATTAGGTTAACTTACTGTTAATCTTTCCACACAAAGATTTAGCTCATCCTGAAGTTGCTTGTCTTCCTCAGACTGAAACAAAATATAAATTCAATAGATTGACCTTTTAATTCACACCAAAAAAGGGTTTCAACCTTGTGGTGAGGCGGGTAGTGGCGGCAAACCCAAAGGGGCGTCAAAAAACAAGAAATTAAATTTTAAAAAGATTAGGGTAATTTTAAAAGGCACAGCAGATATTGCCTGGGCCAATTTCTCAATAGCGAGTCACCTTTCGGTTAATTTTAACTCCAGGGTAAGCGTGTCCAGTTGCTATGTTTACCCTGGGTCCTCATTCTTGAAACAGGGGAGCAGCGTTCCCTGGAGAACGAGTGTTCCGTCTTTGCTACTTATATTATCATTTGCATATCATTGAGAAAGACGGAACACTCGTTCCCCTTGGAACGTTGCTCCCCTGTTTCAAGAATAGGGACCCTGGAGTTTTCCTTAGCCCGGGGGTGACCTGCTATTGAGAAACCGGCCCCTAGGGCGCCAAATTTACTTCAACCTACCAATTCGTTTTTATCTTCCTCCGCATCTTTCTTGGTTTTCACTTTGGTGGGAATTTCAGCTGTGGTTTGCGACATTGTTCACTAATTACTAAAAAGACACCGAGATAACAACTTGGTAACTTAAATGAAGCCAAAAAAAATTTGCACCATCATAATCAACACTGACAAGACAACACTCCATCAGGCATCAGTCATCTCATCAATCAGTCAATAGTCAATCTTAAAAGTGTCAAAGTCAAATGTCAATATTTTTTTAACAACCCCCAAGCAGGTTCTTAGGGCTGCTTTCCCAACGAGTTACCTCCGGGTTGATTTTAACTCCAGGGTAAACGTGTCCAGTTGCTATGTTTACCCTGGAGTTATGCTTAACCCGGGGGTGACTTGCTATTGAGAAACCGGCCCCTTAAAGTTCATAGGTTGTGTAATGGGTAACGTGATAACGCATCTGGGCCGGGGTGCCTTATGGAGATTTGCATTATGTTGAGGCATACAGATGACGTCATAAAAGTTATCAGGCAACCTTGTTTTGAACAACCTTGAACAACCCTCTCGTTTTTTTTTCTAATCGGTGACTTCACCGATGAGATGAGTTAGGGCGGGTATTATAAAACTGCTTTGACAGTTAACTTGAAGTTAACTTTTTGAATAACATGTAATTTCAGAAGTTAACTTTAAGTTAACTCTCAAAGTAGTCTTATAATACCCGCCCTTAGCTTATTAGCTAGCTTTATTAATGATTGGGAAATGACAAATGACCGACATAGAATGGTGGAGAATGGTGGGAACCACAACGATAATTGGTTTCGTGCACGTAACGTCACTACGTTATCCCATTTGTTTATATGGAGTTTGAGTGTCATGCTTTCTTCTTTTGATATTTTTTCGGTATTTCAGTCATAAAACGGCACAATACAAGGGTATTTTGACCCTAGTCTTCATATACTATCCTGTATATGTGTATTTTTGACACTAATTTTTCGGTTATGTTACCTTTAATGTGGCCACGTGCCGCACGAAATCCATACACAACTACTACTACAGGTTAGCCTAAGCCTATCCTGATAAGGCCTCTGTAGAACAAATCTGAAGCCCCCCGTCACGCCAAATCACCTGTTGTGACGTAGGCAGCATGTCGTTTCTCGCCTTGACGTAGGCTGTTTGCACCACAGGTTATGATTTCGCGGGCTTTTGCTTTATATGCATACTTTGGTTTTACTACAGTAATTAACATTCTAAAAAAATAATTTTTTAGATCTCAATTGCATCTTTCTATTTGCCTATTATGTTAATCAAAATTTAATAATATTTTTCATCATAAATTTGAGTTCTAAACTACGACCGCGGCCGCAAACAGCTGACTTCGCTGACGACTTGTGTGTATAGTAGCTGTTTACGGAAGCTATGATCGGGTTAACCCGATCACAAGGATCACCAATCTCGACGTACGGAAAGAGATCTAGGATCAGTTCACTCTTGTACGGAAAGTGATCGGGTTGTTCGGTTCAGTATCATATGTTTGGATCCCATAGACCCAAAAAAATGCAGGGTAAATAGGATTGGCAGCTGTCAGCTGTTTTTCTTAATCCAACTTTTTTAGTTGTTTGTTGATTTTTTTGCCTTTAAAATAAATGTGGCAAACATCTTCAGCAGCAAGAAGCCAAAAAAATGGAAATTTGAGAACTTGAGATTGAAATTATAATCGGAAAATCAAAATAATGTTTGTTGAGGTAAGGATTGTTAGGAGGTGTCATTTGACATGATTCATTTGCGGATTCATCCGTTCGAAAACTAAACTAACTCCACGATAGTTTATACTAATCCTTGAACAGCTGATACTGATCGAACTGATCCTAGATCAGTGTTTCCGTAAGCAGCTAGTGTGTATATCCTTGAGGGAAACGTTAGCTCTCAAGGATAATACCCATTACCACTTAAGTGCTCATCGGCCTCGTTTTTGGCAATGAACTAAACAAACACACTGGAACAGTGGCTGCAAAATGTTTCTACGCAAGGGTTTGTGCCAGGAAGGACAACAAACAAGAGGGATTTGCATCTCTCTCTGTACTATGGCGGCTATTGAGAACAGCTGTTTGAAGTGTTTGAATCATTGAGGCCAGGAAGATGAAGAAGCTCTTCTTTCTTTTACGTTAATGGCAATGCGAGCGAGACAACAATCCCTCTGTATTGCTGGGTTGCGCATATATCAACATTCGGCACACTAGCATAAAGCAGTGCCCGAAACCCACTAGCAACACGCCACGCCATGCTACGCCACTCCACGCCATGTGACATAGAAGATTCACGTGGGAGTCGTGGGACAGTTTGTGTGCAAATTTTTAACACGCAACGTGATGACACGCTCATTTTATTCCATACATTTTATTTAGAAAAATTGTCAGTAGCTTTGAGTACATTATGGAGTATAGAAGCAGTTCGTCTAGGGACTTACAGTAAGAGTTTCTAGAAGAATGTGCTGCTGCGACTCTGATTTTACAGAACAAAAAAAAAAATAAGATTCTGATGGGTGCACAAAATAAACAGGAATCAAAAAAAATTTGGTGCTTTTCATGTATTAATGAGAGAGCTGGAGGCAGATCGTAGTCGATACCATATTATGTACATTATAGAGGAATTCATACTGCCGTACCTTTTCTATCAACAATTCCTGCTGCATTTTTCTGTACTATTTGCGACGCGAAAAAATATTGAATAAATACATAAAAAGATTGTGGCGGGGCTAGAGAGGCGGCCGGGGAACATCTACAAGTACCAACACGCGTGGGCAGCATCATCTGGGGATTTACGACTGTTTGCGCCAGCGGTCGTAGTTTAGAATTTAAATTTATAACGGTGAAAAAGATTATTTAATTTTGATTAACATAATAGGCAAAGAGGAATATGAAAACGAGATCCAAAAAAGAGTTGTTTTAGAATATAAATTAACACATTGACTGCCAAGGCCAAATCCTGAATTATTCGCTGGGGGCCAAAGTTGTATTTTCGTATTTTTTGGCTTTTCTTTTATTTTACAGTGAAAATTTACTTATAATTCTGTTTGGTTTTTATTTTTTTGGCTTTTTTTCATTTTTTGTTGTGTCATTCATAAATGAAGGAAAACTTTGACGAAATTTTATCGCACCGGCCACGTCATTCATATGCGAATGAGACAACAAAAAATGCAAAAAAGCCAAAAAAATTAAAACCAAACAAAATTATAAGTAAATTGTCATTGTAAAATAAAAGAAAAGCCAAAAAATACGGAAATACAACTTTTAGCCCCCAGCGAATAATTCATGATTTGGCCTGTTCCTTTTGTAAATTATAAGTTCATATTTCATCATATACACATAATACATCATATATCAGGAAGAATTAGTTTTTTTTTTGTGTTTGACAGTTTTTTACTTAAAATTATACCTATTTTAAGTAAATTTTTGGTTTCATTGGTCTTGGACAATAACCCAACAAAATTTGCTCTGGCCAAGTTTACCTTGAGAATCCCCAGGGGCCACGCAAATATATCTCCACTTAAAATACACAGGCTGTCATACCTAAATGCATGACATGGCCTAGAAGTGAAACTGAACCGTCATACAAATATGAATGACGCGGCCGGAACGGAAGTGGCCGTGTCATTCATAAATGTATGACGTGGCAGTCAATGTGTTTGTAGTAAAAACAAGTATGCATAAAGCAAAAGCCCGCGGAATCATAACCTATGGTGCAAACACCCTAATTCAAGACGAGAAACGACATGCTATATACGTCATCATTGGTGATTTGGGGGCTTGAGGTTTGAACTAAAAAGGCCAATGAGGATAGGCTATCGTGTAGTGGTAATGTGTATTATCCTTGGTTTGCTCCAACATCTAACTTTTGTTTATTCTCAAAACCGTCACGGAATTGTTCTGATTTAAGTTTTTTACCTATGATTTTACATTGCACGGTTTCGTGACCCCTTACAAAAGCGGCCGCGTTGAACCGATAAATGCTCTTGCTACTGAAACCTAAACTAACCTTAACTTTAAAACTGTTTCGTTTGTGTTCAGGCGGTTTTTCAGTGCTTTTTAAATTTGTGAGGGGCCACAAATCACAAAATTATGTTGAAACGCGTTGCACTTTATGCACCGGATGGTACGCTGTACGGTTTTTGGTCGTGGCGGAACATAATTATTGACGTTGACGTTAGCCGAGTTTGTACAAAAACGATCCCTTCCGTATCGATTGCAAAAGCTGGGTTCGAGAGTCGAGGACGCAGCACGGAGCTGGAGAGTAGTTGTACCGCGTTTTCATCACTGGAACCGAATGTTTTGACAATCATAAGAGCAAACTGGTATCAGCACACTGGCGAATGCTTGTTCTTTCAATTAGTGTCGACGAGGTACAGTCAGCTTTTTTTAAAGTTGCGCAACTTACCCGAACAAAAATACAAGAGACAAGGCCGCGACACACTTACCATACACCCTCAGATCTGAGTCCGGTCCGATGTTGCCCCAAGAAAGAGTCGGATCGGAAAGGGATGACACATGTCATACTCGTTTCCGACTTCTTTCCGATTTTCGGAACCGGCTCGTTACTCGTTACTCGCCACTCACCATTCTTGATTCAATAAAACAATTTCGCGGAAGCTGTGTGCAGTGCAAAGTGTTCAAAGCTTTAGCAACTGCCATGGTGGCACTTTGTACAGAAGAAGAAGTTGAAGAACATCGGAGATCTTATATGGAGAACAGCGGAAAATGCAGATTTTGTGTACGTGTTTGGAAAAGATCCAGAAGGAGAGTTTTCGACACTCTTCTCTCATAGCCGCCATTTCCTTCTCAGAAACTCGTCCGATTGTTTGATCGGAGTCGGATCGGAAGGATGCATGATAAGTGTGTCCCGGCCTTTACTCTCCTCCTAATCCAAAGTGGCAACCCGAACACATCCGGGGCTGGGTTCGGTTACAGTGGCTAAATATACCTTTACTTACAGTGGCGACCTTAGGTGGAGACAATAGAGGTGTCCCCGCCATTTTGTGCCCTATAAAATATGAATATATAGGATTTAAATGGACATCCATCATAAAAAATTGAAAACAACGTATTTGATGTGCCTAATTATAGTCAACGGATACGTTGTTTTCAATTTGCTTATGATGGATGTCCATTCAAATCCTATATATTCTTATTTTAAAAGTAGCAAGAGGTTGGGCACAAAATCGCGGCGTTTTCCATATGAATATAGGTATAGGATTTTAAAGAACCAATCAAAAAGAAGACGGCAATTGTCGCCACTGTGATAATAGAGTCACTGTAGGTTCGGTAATTGCATCTGCGAGCAAAATGAGCAAACTTTGACAAATGTCACGTGATTTGACACGTGAAAAAAGAAAAGTGATCACGTGACATCCGTCAGAGATTGCTCGCAGATGCAATTATCGA